TGTGGCCTACGGGTAAGGTTCTGGCTGGCAGCTGGCATCTCTGTCCTTCAGAAGCTACATGGCATCTCCTTCACTCTGCCTACTTCCTCTCTATATCTTCTGTCTGGATTTCCTGCCTGGCCTGTCTTGACCTTCTGAACCTCAGAAGGTGGCCTTGTGGAAAACAGCTTCTTTGTGGAAGTAACTTGAGAGTCAGTCATGCTGGCTCAAGGTAGGAACCGAATGCACTGACTGTTGCTTTGTGTGTGGGTGTTTTCCCTGCATGTACATCTGTGTGCCACATGCATGTCTGGTGCACACAGAGTCTGTAAGAGGCCATCAGATTCCCTGAGGCTGGAGTTGCAGACATGTGTGTGCTTCCATGTAGGTGCTAGGAATTGATCCGAGTTCTAAGGAAGAGTAACTAGTGCTCTAACCACTGACTGACCTCCAGCCATGATTCCTACTTTTTATGAATTCTAGGCCCTAAGACCGGGAGTTGGCCACTCTCCTTTAGTGTACATCTTCATATATTCCCAGTTCAATTAACCTGATCAAGATAACACTTTATTTAAAAAAGCCTACAAGCAGCAGTGGTGGCGCACACCTTTAATCCCACTACTCAGGGGCAGAGGCGGGTGGATCTCTGTGAATTCAAGGCCAGCTGAACAACAAGGTTCCAGGACAGGCTCTAAAGCTATAGAAAAACCCTGTCTCGAAAAACAAACAAACAAACAAAGCCTATAGGCTAATCTAATCTTTAAAAAGAAAAAAAAACAACTCCCACAGATAGGCTTGGTGGCTTATTTCCCAGGTGTCCCAGTTCCTGACAACAATAGCAGAATCTACCCTTCCTGGATTTTACACACTCCCTTCTCCTCACCTGGCTCCCATGTTCCTCACTCTCCTCTCAGCAAGCTTATGTCATGCTGGTTTTCTTTCTCTGGGAGGAAAAACGACCCTTGACAAGCTTTGACGTGTCTCTATGATTCTCAGGTCTATGTTCCCTCTCATTTTTTTTTCTCCCTGAGGGTCCCTGTACAATTCATTCCCTTTTGTGAGTCAGATCATGTTTTGTGTTTTTTAAAAAAATTATGCTTACGAGTGTTTTGCCTGTATATGTTAGTCTATGTACCATGAACATGCAGTGGAAGCTGGGAATTGAACCCAGGTCCCATGAAAGATCAAGTGCTCTTAACTACTGAGGTAACTCTACAGCCCTGGGTCTTGTATACTGTTTGAGACAGCATATCATGTAGCTCACCTCTACCCAGTATTGAACTCCTGATTCTCCTGCCCCTACCTCCCAATGCTGGGCCACTCTTGCCCACATGGTATGTTTACCAAAGACAGTAGAAACACTTCATTCCATCCTACATGTTCTTATAATGCAAATCTGACTATTCTGTTGTGAAGTGAGTCTATACTCCCACTACCTGGAAGCTGGGTGGCTTTCATCCTTGTCTCAGCAGATCCTAAGTAGCATTATGTCACTATTAAGACCACAGCATTAAAAGTCACAGGCTTTATCTGAATGCTTGTTCTCTTTTTAGATCTATGTAAATATTATGTGTATGGGTGTTTGCCTGCATGTACATATGTGAACAATGCTTATGCAGCACCTGTGGAGGTCAGTAGAGGGCATTAGACTCCTGGAACTGAGTTACAGATGGTTGTGAGCTGCTGTATAGATGCTAGGAACTGAACTTGGGTCCTATGCAAGAGCAGCCAGGCTCTTAACCATGATCCATTTCTCCAGACCTTGAATGCTTGTTTTTGAAGCCTTCAGATGCGATATAATAAAGTCCATGCTGAGGCCAGTAAACTATAGGAAACCCAGTGCAGTCTATATAGATACTGCACTGAGAGGTCCTGAAATGAACATGAGAGACATCAAAGCTGAGTGTGGTGGTGCATGCCTTTAATCCCAGCACTCAGCGGGGCACAGTGAAACAGATGTCTGTGAGTTAGAAAATAGCCTGACAGTTTCTCAGAAAATTGAGAATCAATCTACCCCAAGACCCAGGAATATCAGTCTTGCACATACACCCAAAGGATACACACTCATACCACAAGGACATTTGCTCAACTGTGTTCATAACAGCATTATTCGTAATAAGCAAAACCTGGAAACAACCTAGATGCCCCTCAACCAAAGAATGGATAAAGAAAATCTGGTACATTTACACAATGGAGTAGTACTCAGCAGTAAAAAACAAACAAACAAACAAACAAAAACCAATGACATTTTGAAATTTGTGTAAAAATGGATGGAACCAGAAAAAAACATCCTGAGTGAGGTAACCCAGACCCAGAAAGACAAACACGGTATTACTCACTCATAGTGGACACTAGTTGTAAGGTAAAGGACAACCAGGCTATAATCCACAACCCCAGAGAAGCTAGGTAACAGAGAGAACCCTAAGATAGACACACATGGGTCCTCCTGGGAATGGAAAATAGACAAGAACTCCTGAGAAAATGGGAATATGGAGGAGAACAGCAGAAGGAGAGGGGGAGAGGAGAAGGGAAGGCAGGAAGAGAACATGAGGGAACGAGATGGGGGAAGGACAGAGGGAGAGCAAGGAAAGAGATATCTTGATTGAGAGAGCCATCATGGGGCTAGCAAGAAACTTGGCTCTAGGGAAATTCCCAGGAATCCACAGGATGACCCCAGTTAAAACCTTAAGCAATAGTGGAGGCGGGACCTGAGCTGACTTCCCTTGTAATCAGATTCATGACTGCCTTAAATTGTCATCATAGAACCTTCATCTAGCAACTGATGGAAGCAGATGCAGAGCCAAGCACTAGGCCAAGCTCCCAGAATCCTGTCAAAGAGAGGAGCGATTTGACCAAAGGGGTCAAGACCATGATGGGGATACCTAGAGGAATAGCTAATCTGAGCAATTGGGAGCTCACTGACTCCAGACTGACAGCATAGGCTCAGACTAGGCCCTCTGAATGTGGGTGACAGTTGTGTGGCTGGAGCAGTCTATGGGACCAAGTTTTCTCCCTAGTGCGTGAACTGGCTTTTTAGAGCCCATTCTTTTTTGAGGGATACCTTGCTCAGTCTAAAAGTGATGTGCCAGACTTCGTTGACTCCCATGGGAAGCCTTACCCTCTCTGAGGAGTGAAAGGGGGGTGGTGAGTGGAAGGTGGAGGGAGTGTTAGGAGGGAAGGGAGAGGGGACTGGGATTGGTAGTAAAATGATAAAAGATTATTTTTAAAAATAAATAAAAAAAGGAAAAAACAGCCTGATCTACATAGTGAGTTCCAAGGCAGCAAGGGTTACATAGAGAGCCTTTAAAATATAAAACACAAAATAAAAAAAGGGAACCACTTCCAAGAACTAAATACCAACATACATGCTTAACATGGAAGGACAAATCTCAATCATAGGCAAAGCACTTCAGAAGACTAAGAAGTGCTGAGGGTAGGTGAAACAGTCTTCCCCAACAAGAGTCTCATATTGGTTATCCAATATTAACTGGACAGTCTTGAAATCATATTCACACAAGAAACATTATATGGAAAGAGCAGGTTGTATTTGTTTCTAGGAACACCACACACACACACACGCACACACACACACGCACACACACACCAGCAATTACAGAAATAGATGGCATTAATTTGAGAGGGAGCAAGGGTGTTTAGAGGGAGAAGAAAGTGTTTGGTTGGAGCCTCCATCTCAAGCCCCTCCCCTGGAGTTGTTTTAATCCAGACTCTGCCCTGGACAAAGTTCAAATGATGACCCCTCCCCAGAGATGCTCAAGACACTCCCACAGGGTATTTAAACTGCCCTCCAGAGAACAAATGTGGTTTTCCTATCTTCCTTCCCTGTCTCCTCTTTGGAGGGTTGGAGGGCCATCCGGGAGCATGGTATCCATTAAACCTGGGCTTTTTCTAATTCACTTGATTTGATCTGATTTGAATTATCGGGTCAGCAGAGAGGTTTATCGGGGTTCAGAAACTTTTCAGTAAGGGGAAGAATGTTGTAATTAAATTTTAATTTCAAAAATTAAAAAAAAAATAAAGAAGATTGCCCCAGTTCCGGGGTATCATTCTTAAGACTCCACTCCAGCTACACCGCTGGTAAACCAAGGTTACAGATGCTCCAGCAATCCCTCCAATCCCTGACCCACATAACATTTGAAAAGCAGTAGTATCTCCAAACCTTAGAATTCAGGGCGATTTATGGTATTGTAGCAGTAGATAACCAGAATATTCTCCCTGCACCATATCCTTGGCTTTGTGCTTCCAGGTTCTCCAAGATTTCCTGTGGATTTTGCCACATCCGTAGATCATGAGATAGGGTTGGAGGAGAATAAAACTCACCTGTAGGTTAGCATTGTAGGTTGAGGTGATGGGGAAGTTGGGTAGGTCCGCCTCACTGATACGCACTGCTGAAACTGCTTAGATTGGATTATTCACCCTAGTGAGGCATGCTTGGGTAGAACTGGCCCAGCAAAGGGGGTCTTTCCTTCACCTTCTACCTGTATTTTTTTAGGAACATAAAAGAGGTCAAGACTCAATGGTGATGTTTTTGGTCCAGAAATTAATACATAAGCAACGGTTATACCAAGAAATGATTCCAGAACCACTCCTTCCATTGCAAACCTCTCAGTTTTGTCCAGGACCCTGCAGGACTCAGACACGACTAGCTCAATAGAGGCCCGAGTCTCAGTAGTTTACCCTAACACAATACCTGGTTCCAAAAAAGATCACAAATTGAGACCACCAGGGAACAGACCATCCAAAGGAAATGCCTAACGTTCCAACCGTTGTAGATAGGATCACCTGCCAGCACACACCCATCACTCTTCACCAGGACACCCCTAGACAAATGTCAGCCAATCAGGGGTCCTGAACCTTAGAAATCCCTCACCCCTTCCTCTGCTATTATAAAAACCCCACCCCAAGTGATCTCAGGACTCTCCAATCACTCCAATACATTAGACACATGGAGAGTCTGAGTTCAAACATAAATAAAAATAAAGGTTCTTTGTTTTTGCATGCAGGACCCGGACTCCTAGTTGGCTTTTGGGGACTCTGATCTGGACATAACCGGCCCCATTGGACTCCTCCTTTCCTCCTGCACCCAGTCTGATCTGATTGGTTTCTGAAGTCAGCAGAGAGGCGAGGACGCTGTGAAAAGCAGCTCAAAGCCATGCTACCCTTGTGAAGCTGGTAGTTGTCTTCTGGGGGTGTTCGGCCTCTGGCCTTCTAACCTCATCCCTCCAGCCCCTCCGGGAATACCAGACGTGAGCTGATCATTTTCCCTAAGGAGCAACTCGATATGCTTCTTGTCCATAATGGGGCTAAAGACTGCTAACTTTGCTGAAGTGTCTGTTAGGACGGCCGTACGCATAGGCCTTGTCAGAATTCCTTCCCGGGGGAGAGGTAAACAATGTCTACCCCATTCTTATAGGATCCTAACAACAAAGTGGAGTTTCACCCTTCGACCTGGGGAACAATGAGTTTAGAGAGCTTACTTAGAGCACTTGAGCAAGGAGTTACAGGAGCCCTGGGACCTAAGGCAGACAAGCTGGAGAGTTCACCCAGCATGAATGGAGCTCTCTCTTCAGCTAACTTCCCCAGTCTATAAGCACTGGGAGGACAAGAACTCCTCACCCCACTCCCATCCATATGTGATGAAGAACAAGTCACTTACAAATGACTGGGTGGGGTGCCTGGAGCCCACAGCTACATTTACATACACATACCTCACAGCCCCATCCCTCCTAGCAATCCTGACCCTGCTTTAGGGGCTGCAGGAGCTGCCCTTTGGTCTTAAAGCTCAGCTCACATTCCTGTAGTCTGTTCTCAGAGGAAAGAACAAGACCGTCTGTGCACATGCCTATAATCCCAGCACTTGGGAACAGGGGCAGAAGATCCATCTAAATAGTCCTGGCCAGCCAGGGCTAGAGTTGAAGGAACACTAGCCCACAGGGGCATGTGGCTCTGGCAGGTCTTGCATTTCATTCCCTCTGCTTTGCTAAAAACCATTAGATGACATTCCCAAAGCTACCCACCATGGACTATTCCTTTATTTGGCCAATCCCTCCTCCTGAGACTGACTACCAAATTCCAGTTTTCAATGTATTGAAGCTCAGTAATCAGAAGCCCCTTTTGACTCATCTAATTAACATGCCCAATTAAAATTAAACACCTCATCCTAACACGGAGCATCCCCCTTTACTTTTATAAACCGACATTTGCCTACGTGCCACATCTGTCCTCTCTATCCAGAGACAGTCCTTTGTCCCACCCCACCCTGACAGAACAAATACCCTGTCCCCTTTCCCTTTGCTCCCTTCGCCTCCTCCCTGGTCCTTTATCTCCTCACCACCGCACCAAAGTCTTTTCTAATGCAGACCTCCCTCTGCTATCTTCTCTTTCACCTGCGAGGTCATTTGCTGCTGTCTTCTGCCAGAGTCAGCAGGGAGCCACTTTAGCTTTTCTTCCTTGCTTAATAAAGGATCTCTCTGTGAAAACCGGTGTTTGGGTGTGGTTTGGGCCTAATCCAGGATCTGGGAGGAAGCCCCTGCTGTGCGGTGTCCTCACCGTCCCGCTTCAAGAGTGGCTTAGCCCAGGAGAGACTTTCACAGTCTCTCAGTTTATTCTCACAGTTCTCTTTAGGAGTATCAACATTCTATTGTTCTGGGTATTTTCACTATCTGACTGACTCTCACCACCAGCCTGTTCTATATTGTTTCTATTATGAACTAATTTTTGTTTCTTTGTTTTGTTTTTAAACTCTAAGTGAGGATAAATTTTTTTCCTCAGGGAACCATAACATCCCCAGGATGGTGTACAGAATGGTTCATTTCAGACCTTTAATGATTCCCATGGCTTCACTTCCCGTCTCCATGGCAATGACCCTTTCTAGTTTTCAAATTTTAGAAAATCAGAAGAAAAAAAAGCCCTAAGTCCGTGTGAAAATACAGAGAAAGTTTAGGAATATGAAATATCAGTCTCCTAGACACGTGTACATCCACGCAGAAAATAATCCCCTGACGATGTGAGACAGCTTTTCAGACTTTTCGTCTGTGGCAGTCCACATGACCCATGGATGTACGGAAATGAGCACTCTGGCGTATAATTGGAATACGGACGTGGCCGTGACAATGTCTTGGGGGAAAAGGAACCAGAACATACACCACTATGACCATTAGCATAGTATACGCGCAAGACAACTCCGGTAACTCTACAAGCAGCAGTGGCCATGCGCAATACCGACTTCCGCTGGGGCGGGGGCAGGCTGAGGCGTGGCTAGAGGCGTTCTGGAGAACCTACTTCCGCTTAGTTCTTCACGTGGTTAGGTGTTGTTATCGTTACCGAGACGCCGTGGGAATTTGGATTCCGACCCTGGGGAATCCAGAGTCCGCGGGCGGAAGTCGCGGCCTGGCGGGCCGTGCGCACAGCTCGCTCTGCGCTGCAGTGAGGTGAGTGGCTGCGGGGCAGGGCGAACGCTGTGCCGCCTGCTGCCGAGCGCCGGTTTGTGCCGAGAGACGGCTGCGGAGGCTGCCGGGGGATGCGTGGTTGGGCTGGGCGTCCTGTGGGAGTAGGAGAGCCGGATTGCTGAGGGCGGCGATGGAGCCTGGGGCTGGTGTGTGTCTGTGAGGGCGACCGGCGCCGCCTTCTGGACTGCGAGTGTTTGCATGGCTCGTGACTTGAGGCTTGAGTCTGCCTGCGAGAGGAGAAAAAGATGGAAAATGAGTTTACTCGCGGTTTACACCCGGGCCGCAGCCTCCTCGACCTGCCCAAGCCTACGCCGTGTCAGAATTGATAGAAGGAATGGGACAGTCTGCGCGAGGTCGTAGCTGTGAGCTCTAGGGAGCAGAACTGGGTGCAGGTGCTGGGGACCAAGACTTCGGGCCATTTCTCTAATCCCATTACATTTCCCATAGGAAGGTGCTGAGAAAGAAAAGATTTAAAACGTACTAATTCTGGTGACCAGTTTGAATAGTGGGGCCCCTGAAGGTGTGTGCTAGCCTGTCTTTGGGACCCCGTGGTGCTGTAAATAGGTGTTAGGCTAAGTGCTTGGCCCCCTGCAGCTCCAACAGGTTGATCATGGTCCGGTTTTCACCAATAACCAATAGGGGTTATTGGTGAAAAGCAGAGAGAGGAGGGGAAGTTTCTTCAAATCAGCCACATGGTTCTTAGGAGGTGTCTTTCGGAGTATGTCCTCTGGCCTAAGCCAGTGAAACTTAATGCCCTGTCTTTGCCTGGACACCTTTTGAAAACACATTGGGCTTATGGAACATCTGAAGTTTCCCATCTTTGACAGCACAAAGAGCAGGTCAGACTCCAGGGCGAAGGTCTCTGTTCCTCTAGCGAGCTCTCCTTCCTGTGTCACCGCGATTGTCCTTCTCTGCCTCGCGATGGTAGGGATGGTGTGAGGCGTCGGAGAGACGTACAGTTGAGAGTACTGAGCGAACATTAAATAGAATTGAGTTGACACTTGCTGATTTTTAGTCAATTATTTTCAACTTTTGATCGCGTGCTGTGTGCCTGTTTGGGGACTGTGCCCATGAGTGCGGATGCCTGTGGAAGCCCTAGCTTGGGTTACAGGTGGTCTGCGCCCCTGATGTGGGTGCGGGGAATCAGCTTGGTTCATACATGTTCATACATGTAAAACAGCATGCTTAAAGAATAAGTATGGGCTAAAAGGGAACATTTTTTACAGATACACACAAAGAAAATGTTGGGCAGGATAAATAAAGGAGCAGCTGTCGTTCTCTGCAGAGCGCAGCAGCGTAAACTAAACGACGTGTTGGAAGTAGGACAGGGTGCCGTAAGCAGAAAGAGTCGTCTTTTGTCTGTGTTTTCTTCACTGCCGGGCAGGTGCTAAGGACTTGATTCCCAAATCCTAGAACACTGCATCTTTCTTTGGAAAGCTCACATTGCTTCGTGTCTTCTCTTCCCTTCTCACACCTGAAGGGTGGGAAATCTGCACTTAATTCTTTGTAACCAGAGTTCAAAGTCATTGTCTTTTGTTTGTTTCCTGGATCTTCCTAAAGTTAAGAGTTAGGCTAGGCATGGTGGTTGATTCCCTTAACCCCAGCACTCAGGAGGCAGAGGCAGGTGGATCTCTGAGTTCGAGGTCAGCCTGGTCTACAGAGTGAACTGCTGGACAGTCAGGGCTACACAGAGAAACCCTGCTCAAAAAAAAGAAAGAGAGAGAGAAAGAGAGAGGGAAAAAGAGTCAATCTTTTCACTACTCTGCAGTGTCTATATGATGGCTGTCGGGTGGGGCTAAAACTTCATATTGCAATTGTTGTATAAATGACCCACAGTCACTGACTTTCCAGGACGTTGTCTTTGTAGCTCCCTGGGCCATGCCAAGTCATTCATGCTGCTGATTTTCTAGCACAGCCCAGCTGAATTCTGCATGTCAGCTCTGCTCAGAGGCTCCGCATGCTCACCCGAATCCTGAGGAGACAGCACAGAGGACATGTCTGCTGACGGGGGTTTCTGCCGGAAGCCACAGACACTGGAAGCAGAGGAGCAGTATGGATTGTGTGAGGTGAGGAGAGGCACCCCAGGTTCCGTCCTCAGAACTAGGGGTAGACGTTGGCAGTACCAGATGTGAGCTCTGTTTCTGAGGTGACCTTGAGTCTCCGGCTGAGTGGAACCCAGAGGATGGAAACTCCTCATTATTTCGTGACATGCGTGGTGTGCTGCTTCTCCGGTTCAGGTTTGCCTGCTCGTCCATGACCCCTGGGGAGTCCTGTTTCTAGTTGACCCAGGGACTGGCGGGACAGAGAGTAGGCACCTCCAAGACTAGCTCCTTTGGCCTAGTCATGGTGTCGCGGGTGAGGGGCTGCCGGGAGGTTTGTGAAGCTGGACCTCCAGATCACCCCCGCCCAGTTGTGTCCAGCGATGGGTTTGAATACGCGGAGACCTCGCCAGAGCCCACTGATGCTCCCCAAATTCATGTAGGTCTTTCTGCCTCTCCACTTCACCCCGTCCTACCGCAAGCATCTGATTTACAGTTTAAGCTGCTGGGCTCCACAGAGCGTGAGAGCCACTGCTGACTCTGCCCTTCCCACCAGTTTCTCTGTGTACCTTTGTAAAACGCCCCATTTTAGCCCAAGCTGAGTCCTTACATTTGTTGTTTTGCCAATCCCAGTCTTTCCAAGAGTAGAAGCTCATACTGTAGCGGAACCCCAGGAACCCTACACAACTCTAGACAAGCGTAAGATGGCTGGTGGAGAAACTCTATCCTCTGTGGGGTTGGGTGAGACGTAGTATGCAATGCATGGCAGGGTATGTTTATATACTGTCTCTAGGCCTGAACATAAAAATGAAACCATTTTTTTGTGTATGGAAAGTTTAGTGGTACTTCCTAGAGGGGAAAATTATTAAAAACTCATGGCTGCTTACTGTATCTTTCTGTTGTGCAGAGATTGGTGTCCTTTGAGGATGTGACTGTGGACTTCAGCCGGGAGGAGTGGCAGCACCTGGACCCCGCCCAGCGACGCCTGTACCAGGACGTGATGCTGGAGATCTACAGCCACCTCTTGGCAGTGGGTGAGCGCAGCTGGCCTGGGGATCCAGGGTGGGCCTCATATTTTCTCTGTGTAAAACTTGGTGGAATATCAGAAATCTGTGATGATTTCTGAGTTGTTTTGTCCTTGCTTCATTCTTGGGCACCTTTTTATGTGTTATTTAATGTTGACTTTTACAGTTAACCAGTACAGAGCTCATTGGATGCCCTCTAAGACCTACGAAGATGCAACAAATCCAGAATCCTTGCAATTCACAGGGTATCCCAGGCCAAAGGCCATCCTCAGGATGAAGAACGTTGATTTCCCACATCAGAGGTGTCAGTGTCAAGGTGAGTGACTCTTACCTGGTAGACAGGTGAGAGGTGTCATCAGCCTGCTGACTTACTCATCCGCTAGTAGGTCGATCACCTAGGGTTTCATAGGAAACACTGTACATTTTGTTACGAGCATTTGTAGGAGCAGAAAGGTGGTTACTGGATATTTGCTTAAGTTTCATTCTAATGATCACAGTCCATGTTTGGAAAGCATGAAACAAAGAAATCACACGTGGATTTCTGTTTGTGTATCTTAGTTGTCAACAGTTGACATTATCAGCGTGGTTAATGTATTGCTTGTGTAACGAGTAAAATAAATGTTTCCTTGTTTTCGTTTTTAGATTTTGAGTGTGCGTGTGTATGTATGTGTGTGTGTGCGTGTGTGTGTGCGTGTGTGTGTGCGTGTGTGTGTGTGTGTGTGTGTGTTAGGAGAGGCCAAAGAGTGCTAGAGTTACAGGTGGTTATGAGCACCCATGAAGGTGCTGGGAGCTGACCTCTGGTCCTCTGGAAGAGCAGCAGGCACTCGGAACCCCTGAGCCGTCTCTCCAGGCCCTCCTGTGATATCTTTTCAGAATTAATTTAGAGCATCTCATTATATCTATTATGTAAAGGCATTTCTGTGTATATATTATTTTAGCATTGTGTGCTCTCCTAATTCTTACACACTATTTATCCCTTCATCACTTCATTTTTCATCCTGGATATTCTTTGGTATCCACCTAAGTGTGGCACCATCCACCGTATTCCTATTTCATGTGTTCCCGTGTAATTGTTTCTTACTATGTGTATATGTTTGTGTTCCTGGGTGTGCGCATGCCACTCACCCTGTGGGGGTCTGAGGACAACTCGCAGGGAGTCTTCTCTCCTGGAGATCGGGCCTGACAGCAAGCACCTTCCCCACTGCGCCGTCTTGTGGGCTCGGCCATACTTCTTATAGGAATTGCCTTCTGAACCATTCTGACCTTAGTCCTCCTGTGACTGTTCTTGTCAAGTTGATACAACATAGAAAGATTCTTGATGAGGAGTTGTCTACGTTGGCCTGTGGCCTTGTCTCTGGGGAATTCTGTTATTTGATGTGAGACCCAGCTCTGTGGGTAGCACCGTTCTGGAGCTGGGTCCTAGAATGTGCCGAGTGATAGATGTGCCCGTGTTCAGTCTTTCGTCTGTCATGTGACCAGTTGCCTCAGCTTCCCACCACCCTGAAGTCCCTGCGATGGTGGGCTGTGACCTGGAGTGAAAGGTAAAGTCAGTCTCTCCCCTTCCATTGCCGGGTGTCGGGTGTTTTATCACAGCTACAGCAATGGAGCCAGGACACGTTTGGCTGGTGGTTTCTGTGTGGCCTCTGCGGTCTCTGTGTGTGGTGAGCCTCTGCCGTGTCTAGCTGTGTAGAGGACTGGTCTTGTGAATGACCCCTTCCTTAGTTTTGAGACGTGGAAAACTGGGGTCATCCTATCCAAGTTAGAAAGTGAAGTTTCCGTTTCTTGAGTTTATTACTTCCCAGTTCCTGCTTGTGTTTACTTCCTAGTATGCAGTTTACGTGACTTTTTAACTCTGCTGAGATCAGTACAAACTGATTCCTTATTTCCTTATGGAGACTATTTGTCCTGTTGAGAGTTTTGGATTTCACTTAGGATTTCAGTTAACATTCTGTTGGCAGTTTCTCTTATAGCAAACATTTCTATTTTCTTTCTTTTCTTCCTAATAGATTTGATGCAAATATCCAATTATTTATTGTGTAAGATGTAGACTGCCTCAGCTCTTTCAGTGGCCGTGTATTTCCAATTTGCAAATGACCCTGAGTGTTTTCCTCACTTGCGCTCTGAGCCAGGTATAGACAGGTCTCTGTTGATGTCTGCTCCGCTGGAATTCCCCAGTGCTCTAATCTGTGATTGGCTTCTCGTCTCCGTTTTTGTTGGTTTTGTTGTTGTGTCAGAAATAAGCCTCGTGGGCAGCAGTTTCAGCAAATAAAAAACTGTGTGTCTTGATTTTCCAAAACTAAGCAGAAGATACCGTTTCCCCTAATTTGGAAGATTTTTCAGTGTCTGCTAAAGTAAATGGAAGGAAGCAGGTTATGGTGGACTGTGTGAGTAACAGCTTGAGGGCCAGGAAGATCCCTTAGAGCCTTTGTCCTGAATGTTTAAGGGAGGCCGCTTGATGTGCAGCCATCAGCACGAGGACTTAGAGAATAGCTGCTCGCGTGGGTCACCCCAAATCTGAGATGACAATGGGGGTTGATTTTGAGGGCACGTGGACTGGTTATTCATAAAGTAATTTTGAATTGGAATAAAGAACCTTTAATACAGTTCCTCATGTCATGGTGACCCCAACCACAAAATTGTTTATGTTGCTACTTCATAACTGTAATTTTGCTACTGTTATGAATTATAATGTAAACATCTGATACGTAGGATAGCTGACATATGACCCCTGTGTAATGGTCATTCGACCTCTCCCCCAGAAGGAGAACCCACGTGAGAACCACTGACTGAGAGGATGCTCAGAGTCAGGAGTGATTGACTGTTTTATGTTGAGGTTGTTGAGATATAGTGGAGAAATAAAATATATTCACTTCATAGTGTCAGGTGTTCTAGGTTGCACGAGTTGGTCAGAGAAAGAGGTCGCTCAAGATAAAATTCTAAGGCCTGTGTGGCAGCAGGAAAGCTTGACCTCTGATGAACTGATTCATATTTACTGATTGTTACACAAAGTTGTTTTTCGGGTGAAGTGTTTCCTCATGCCAAGGTTCCTAATCTGCGCTCGGTGTTTCTCTTAGGGGAATCGTCACACTCCTGCTACCTTAGTCCTTATTGTGTACCCTTTGCAGTACCCAGTAATCCAAAGCCTTGGGTGTGCCACACGCGTCTTGTGACCAAAGTCGTGCAGAGGCTGTAGCACCCTCTCAGAAAACCAAGTCCACAAAGCATGGAAAACAATTACTATTTTCCACAATAATTCTTCAAGGTCAAAGTCCTTGTGGAAAACAACTGTTCAGTCCAGTGCTTGCCCTAGATAGAGTGACTCTGCTGGATGCGCACAACAGCATGGAAAGGTGCCTGGCACACATGGGTGCTGCGTTACATCAGGGTTGGGGCATTACAAGGGCCATGGCAGCATTTCTCACCATTGTCACCATCATCGGCATCGTCACTTCCTGGCAGAGACTTCTTTCTGTTGAGGCTGATTCCTTCTCCATCATGTTCACTGTGTCTGCTCCTTCATCTCTTCACAGGGCAATCAGAGCATGACTCGGCTCATCACATTTGTGCGAAAGCTGCATTTCCAAATGATTTCTCAAAAGAAATCACTACACGTGGTTCATACTGTTCCGTTATAGAGGAGCTCTGGCAGGATGGGGACCCTGCGAGGACAGATCAGCCAAACCAGATCCCACTCTTAAGTTCTGCTGCTTCCTTCACCCAGAAACCACCGATGAGTGACGAGACTTACGAGTGTGAGGCGACTGGGGGGTCCGTTCCTGTAGATCTCCATCGCATTTCTACACAAGAGAGATTTCCAAAATGCTGCTCATCTGAAAAACCTTTACAGCCTAACCCCAACCTTCAAGCACATAGTGGACATGAAAGCAGTGCCGCCAGGCAGCCTGGTGGCGTTGTTGGATCCTGTCGGTTCTTCACACGGAGCCCGTGTAATGCTTCCTGTGCAGCTCCTAACGGAGAAGAGAAAGCATGGAAAGGAAAGGTTCTCAGCCCTAAGCAACCACTTAGGAAGCATGAAATTCTTTCTCAGAATGAGCCAGTTGAATATACCAAATGTGGGGAGGACTTCCCTGCTAGGCCAGCTTCGTGCCCGCAGCAAATGACTAACACTGGACGGACACCTCTTATTTGTCACAGATGTGGGAAGTCCTTCCTTCCAAAATCCGAGTTGAGCTCTGGCCCAGGAACGAACCGAGGAGAGACACCTTCTGAATGTCCTGACTGTCTGAAACCACTCACAAGGACTCCCGACCTGCAGGTGCATGAGGAAGTCCACACAAAGGAGAAGCCTTACAGATGCCATGAGTGTGGGAAATCGTTCAACTATGCATCCCACCTAAAGGTGCACCTTCGCATACACACAGGCGAGAGGCCGTATGTGTGTTCTGACTGTGGGAAGGCCTTCAGCCAAAAGTCAGTCCTCACCACACACCTGAGAATTCACACTGGGGAGAAGCCTTACACGTGCAGCCACTGTGGGAAATTGTTTGTTTATGCATCAGATCTGAAGAAGCATAGTCGGTTTCACACAGGGGAGAAGCCTTATGAATGCCCCGACTGTGGGAAGTTGTTCAGTAATAAATCCCACCTGCCTGTGCATCATCGAATCCACACGGGCGAGAAACCGTACAAATGCTGTGACTGCGGGAAGTCCTTCAGAAGGAAATCCCACCTGAAAGTGCATAATCGGACACACACTGGCGAGAAACCTTACATATGCTCCGACTGTGGGAAGGCCTTCAGCCACAGCTCAGTTCTCAGCACACATCAGAGAATCCACACTGGGGAGAGGCCTTACACGTGCAGTGACTGTGGGAAAGCCATGACATCTAAAGCCCAGCTGAACGAGCACCAGAGAATCCACACGGGTGAGAAGCCGTATGTGTGCGCTGACTGCGGGAAGGCTTTCAGCGGCAGGTCTTCCTTACAGGCGCATCGGAGAACTCACAGGAGGGAAAAGCCCTTTCTCTGTCACCAGTGTGGGAAAGGCTTCCTGCGCAGGTCACAGCTGTCATCTCACCAACAGACTCACACTGCTGAGACTCCGTAGTGCTGTGTGTGTGTGTGTGTGTGTGTGTGTGTGTGCGCTTGTGTGCGTGTGTGTGTGCGCGTGTGTGTGCAGTTGTTCTGTCTCCATGCCAGCCAAAGGCCATCATCACACGGAAATGGAAAAAAACATTGCCAGTGATGGGCTAGGAAAGTTCTCAACAACTGAGGTCCGTCTGTTTCACATTGTGCAGAGACCTGAAATGGGTTTGAGTGCACAAAGTCCTTCAAACGTAAGTCAGGTTTCAGTAGACCCAGGGACTCCTACCTCACACTGTTCTTACAGACGATGTGGTCTTGTGGAAGGCTTTCCCACCAAGTCAAATCCTTTTCCATGGTTGGTTTTGTTTTAATTTTTTTTTTAACTTTTTACTTATTCTTTGTAGACAGATTTTCCTTTTGGGGTCACCAGCTCACAAAGAATGACAGAGAGACTTATTATGAAAGTTTGGCCAATAGCTTGGGTTTGTGTCTAATTAGCTCTTATAGTTTAGATTAACCCATCGGCATTAGTTTACTCTCTGCCTCATGGCTTTATTACCTCATCTCCATAATGCCCATCCTGCTGGCTCTGTGTCTGCCTGGCGACTTCACCATCTTCCCAGCATCCGCTGTGCCTGGAAATCCTGTCTAGCTATTGGCCTGCTGTGGGACAATAGTCTGTACCTTGTCAATTGTATTTTAATAAAACGCTGATTGGCCAGTAGTCAAGCAGGAAGTAGAGGTGGGTCAACGAGAACAGGAGAATTCTGGGAAGAAGGAAGTCCTAGTCTGCAGTCATGACCCAGCCTCAGAGGAAGCAAGATGTGACTGCCTCGCCAAATAAGGTACCAAGCCATGTGGCTAACATAGACAAGAATAATGGGCTAATATAAGTTATAAGAGTTAATAAGAAGTCTGAGCTACTAGGCCAATCAGTTTATAACTGATTTCTTTGGGACTGAATGACTGCAGGACCAGGCAGAACAGAAAATCTCAGCCAACATTGGCTATTCAGCTTTTTATTAAACCAATCACAGTGTAAAGGAATATTCCACAAAAATTCTTTGTGTCTTTTGCCTCATGCTTCTCAATCCTGTTCTCTTCCCATCCCTTTGTATCTACCCTTTGTGCTTGCAACCCGCCCTTCCAAATAAAATCAAAGAAAAAGAAAAACCAATCTTGTCATGGAAGCTATAGTGTAACTCAGTGAGTCACACAATAAACCCTTCTGTCCATATTTCTTTACTTGTAAGAGTCCCTTGCAAGGAGTCATTGGTCAGGTTCAGAGCCTTTGGTTTCTGCTAAACTATGGATGGCTGGCACTCCTCTTGGATATCCTGTTGCCCTGTGTCATGGAGACCCTTCAGTTTTGGGTTTTATCCATGTTTTTAACTTATATAAAGAGACCTAATTATAGCTATGCATTGCTTATTTTAAATATGTAAATTATACCTGAGGAAAAAAGAATGAAGAATTGTAAGGAGAAGTACAAGTACCATGTGCATGCATGGCTGTGTGTGTGCATGCTTTGGGTACACTTGTCTGTGGGTGTTCTTGTGTGTGGTGAGAAATCTTGTCTTGAGAAGACAAATATCTACCTCCTCCCAGGTTCTCCACCGAAGCCCAGCTTAGGGAATGGGTGAGTTTGTTGCACATACTTACAGAGCATGAAGGATACTTTCAGGAGCTTTGGAGCCCAAAGCAGCCACACTACTTAGAAAATCTCACCCCAGCATAGATTTCAACATCCCCATAACTGCATAGATGACATCCCTTCTTCAATTAATCTACTATAATGTATACTTCAGCATCTTCCAAGACCATGAGGCTACAGACTCAAATTGCAGGGAGGGGGATGTTGAGATACCAGGTGAGGGATCAGTGGCCCTCCACACCCCTCCTATGAGGGAACATTAAGAGACAACAGACCCAACCTCAAGGTCTCTTAAATGTGATCACAGCTGCCCCGATGGAGATGATAGCTGGTGTGCTCAGATGTGTGTCCACGCACAGCTGCCCCTATGGAGACGATGGCTGGTGTGCTCGGATGTGTGTCCACGCACAGCTGCCCCTATGGAGACAATGACTGGTGTGCTCAGGTGTGTGTCCACGCACAGCTGCCCCTATGGAGACGATGGCTGGTGTGCTCGGATGTGTGTCCACGCACAGCTGCCCCTGTGGAGACTATGGCTGGTGCGCTCAGGTGTATGTCCACACAAGTGAAGATGTCGATGTCTAGAGGTTACCTCAAGTGTCAATTCTTAGACACCTTTTTGTTGAGAAAAAGTTTCCTATTGGCCTGGACTATCCCCAAGAAGTCTAACCTAGGTGGCCAGTGAGCTCTAAGGACCTACTTGTTTTTAACTCCCATCTCAATATCACTGGGATTAAAAATTATTTCTGGGGCCAAACCCAGGTCCTCATGTTTGTGTGACAGAGGCTTTACTAACAGGCATCTCCCTGGCCCTGTGTTAGTCTTTGAAAGGACTATTTGGTCACAGAAAGAAATCTCAAATAATGATTTGAGCTAAATCTCTGTAATGATTTAAAGCATACAGTTACCAAACTATTAAACTTTGTGGAAAATTGTAGCAATTATTTCCCTGTGTTGTACCCATACCAGCACATGTTATTGTTCTTTTTTAAAAATAATGATGATGGGATGGCCCTGGGCGGCTCGCGGAGCAGCTTCTAGTCTCCAGGGTGGCAGCGCCTTGCGGCCGGGGGAGTCAGGCGGGCGGTTACGGCGGATAAAAGGCTCACAAGACATAGTAAATAAACATAAGGATAAACATTTATTACTTAAAAAGAAATAGAAAAACAGAAAGACAGAGATAGACAAATATAAAGACACAGAGACAGAGAGAAACGTGTGCACACGACAGGAGACAACCACACAAGAGAGAGAGAAAGATGGCGAAGGGGGAGGTCAGAAGTGGCTGGGGTGGGCGTGGTTAGTTCTTAAAGTGACAGCAGAAGAATAACACATGTAGTTCAAAATAACAAAAATTTAAAAATGCCAGAAATATCTTACAAGCCTTAGGAAGTTACTGAAACGTAGGATTTGTAACAGCCTCTCCTCAAGGCTCTAAGTAGTGATTACCCCTGGGCATGAGAATCTCTCTGATCATAAAGCTGTCTACAGTGCCCAGTGAGCCCCAGAGATGCAGTCATCACCTGTGCTAGGGCTTATACTCCAGTGAGCCCATTAACTCATTGGTCCACTGATTGGACTTCTGTGGACAAACACTGGCCCAACAGAAGAAAAATAAAATAAAGAAGATCAAAATGGGCAAACTAGTTTATTCACAGTTTGGGCTAGAACTGAGAAAACAACCATTCTCAGTTTTTTCTTTATGCTTTTCTATTCCAGAGTTAAAACTTACAGAGGGAGAGAACAAAGCTGGGAGGGAAGCACGTGGTGTCAGTCAGTCAGCGCCGAGAGGGAAGCACGTGGACTCCAGTCAGCAGAGCTGGGCATGGCGTTTTGTGCAGGTGCCAGGGCTTTCCAGTACTGTAGGGGGCTGGAGCTCAAAAGACAAGATAAAAAAAATTACTAGTCCCTAATTGTAGCCTTAGGACACGCATATGGGCATGGGCCAGTGCTGTCTTCTGACCCCGTGGGCTTAGTGTGTGTGATTGGCAGGTGACTCTGGGACATGTTATTTGAGCTGTGTTTGGGATTGAGTCTCAGGAAAACAGTAAATTTGATTCTTTGGGAAATGTCTGTTGACTTTCAGTTACTGGAAGGTATCCAAAGATACTGAGCATTATTGGTGTCAATGTCCGCATTCTGGTGTAGCGGCCACTCCTTCTGGACCGGCAGGAAGTGTTCTGTGAATGGAGGACCCCACTCCTTCTGGACCGGCAGGAAGTGTTCTGTGAGTGGAGGACCCCACTCCTGGACCGGCAGGAAGTGTTCTGTGAGTGGAGGACCCCACTCCTTCTGGACCGGCAGGAAGTGTTCTGTGAATGGAGGACCCCACTCCTTCTGGACCGGCAGAAAGTGTTCTGTGAATGGAGGACCCCACTCCTTCTGGACCGGCAGGAAGTGTTCTGTGAATGGAGGACCTAATGCACACAAGTACAGGTTTGTCAAAACACACAAGAGATTGGGTCTGTGAATTTAAGTGATATGTCAGAAAAAAATAGGCTGTGCGGCATGTCATGGACGGACACAGAATTAGCCTAAAAAGGGAATAGGAGCCAGAAATGACTATTGCTCTCATGAGCTTCTGAATCAGGAAGGCAATGGGAAGAGTGTGTCCTTTGAGACTGATGCTTGCCTGCTCTACTCAGTGACCATAGGGCAAATTAAGGAATAGCATCCAGCCTCAATACTAAAGGTTATTGTATATGACTGAAATGGTTGTGTGAAATTTAAATAAAGTCTTGATGCATATTTGCCATGTGCCAGGCAGGTGCCTGGTCTTGATGAGCCTTGTCCTTCATCAGACCCCCACCCAGAGCTTCTGAACATCACCTGCATCCTCACTTTGGCAATAACCGAGTTAGACTCTGGTGACAAGAATGGGGCTCTCATGACCTGCTCTGCTTAGTCTGCACAATGACCTTCACTCGGATCCTGAGCGTTTGATGTTGGATCAGTGGTCACATAACTTCCTAGGACTGCCCAGTGTCTGCGGACCCGCGGTCATACCACATCACCCAGACGGCACCCTCTGCCCAGCAGCTCTCCTTAGAACCTCTAGTCACTCACCCAGCTTCGAGCTCTCGTGGAAATCAAATCTTCTATCAAGAGATACCAAGAGTAGAAACCAATGAAGACATGTCTGCTGATGTGAAATTATTCCAGGAGCCCCAGAGACGGGAAACACAGGAGTGGGATGGGTCGTGTGGGGTAAGCAGGACCTTTCCCGGGTTCAGATCTCCAGAACTAGAGACGGACGCCGGAGGCAGCAGGTCCTGGGCTCCCAGTTTCTGAAATGGTTTAGTGGACCGTAGGAGTCAGATGCCGCATCTTTTCATGACAAGCATTGTGCTACTTCTGGGTTCTTCATCTAGAGCTGCCCGCGTGCCCCATGACTTCCTGTAGAGTCGGTGTTTTACACCCCACCTGAAGAAGGCAACCAACCACAGACCAAGAGAATTTTTCCATTCCCGTGCAGCTTGGTAAGTGTGATTTTCTGTGGTTACTTAAGGGGCTTTAGTTACTCTGGCAGCTGTCTCACTGAAAAGCACATCTCAGCATGGGGAAGAGGCGTGGCCACTGGGAAGACCCCAGAGTTTCCTGTGCAGCTGGCGCGGAGCTGCGTTACTGAAGATTCTCTTCTCATCCTCACTCGCCAGTGAATAGTTCAGAGAAGTAACAGCTACCCACAACTAAGCGTTCATTGAGCTCTCTCTCCAGCTATTGGTAAAAAATAATTTTTAAAAATCTAACATCTTTCTAAGTCACAGGGCCTGCCATTCCCAGTAAAGAAGTCATCTTCAGGATCAAAAAAGAAAAGGGGGCACAGTTGAGGAAGGCTGAGTTTGCATATCAGAGGTGTCCATTACCCAGGTAGAGGTGGGTTAGAGTTCTGGGGCCAGTATCAGCCTACTTTCTTGTCTAGTGGGCATGTAGGTTGTTTCCTACCTTCCAGTATCTGCTATCAGTGCCAGATGCATTATATTATAAACACAGATGTGAGGACACTAAGACTCGGTCTGCAGTGGACGTTATGAACTGGCCAGCTTCTTGGTGGAGATCTGGATGCCTAAGTTGAATAACTCAACCTCATCCTCCTTATGGTCCATGAACACAGAAGGGCTTGTGTTTGCACATCTTGTCAGTCACCTTAGACAGCAGGCAGATTGGTTTATGTACACCCATGTGATATATAAATAGACCTTGTTTTTCCAATTTTATTTTTCTAATAGAGCACCTCATTTTGCTTTTTGTATTACTTTATCATTTTGTGGTCATGCGGTTTTGCCTTGTTCCTGTTCATTTTTTTTCTTATATTCATTGATGCTCTTTACTGGATCCTTCATTTCCCTGAGTGTTCCTGTGGCTGTGCATTCCTGTGAGAATTGCTTCAGAGGACCCAGTCTCACTGGAAGTCGCGGTTGTATTGTGATGCCTCCTTTGTCCATTTCTGCAGCCCTGGTGCTGACGCTGTATCTGCCATTGTATTTAGCTGCTTGGAGGACCATTCCCACAAGGCAGCCTCCTTCCTTAGTGTACGTGTGTGTGTGTGTGTGTGTGTGTGTGTGTGTGTGTGTGTGTGTGTGCACAAAATGTCAAAGGCTCATGTGTGGAAGTCAGAGGGCAACTTATAGAAGTTGGTTCTCTCCTTCCACTATTTGGTTCCCGGGATCAAACTCAGGTTGTCAGGCTTGGCAGCAAATACTTTTACCTGTTGAGCTATCTCACCATCCTCCCGCTCACTTTCTGAGATGAGCTTTCACTGAAATTTTGTCACAGTAATGTTAAGTCTGGGGACACTATTTTTGGACAGCTAGATGGATGATAGATGGATACATAGATGATAGATAGATAGATAGATCGATAGATAGATAGATAGATAGATAGATAGATAGATAGATAGAGATAGAGATAGAACTAAATTTCCAAGGATAGGCAGAAGATAATATTTCTACCTATTTTAGAAGGTGCTTTTCAATATCTGTTTATGGAAACCGAAAGGAAGACATTCTAATGCAGCTAATGGTGGCGTAGGATGGAGAGAGCCTTATCCTTGGTGTCATTGTTCTGTTTAGTGAAGGGCTGTCTGAAATACAAGCCAGCGTGAAGGTCTAGAGAGTAATTGCTTTTGAAATTTAGACACAGTCACCTCACCCTAGATGTCAGGTGACACCGGAAGTTAGTTTCTGACGCCCGGTTACAGGTGCTGCTCCTCGAAGCAGTTTTGAACTGGAAAAAGAAGCAGACCAAGCAAGTGTGGGTAGAGGCTGTGAGGAAACTGTTTAGAGCAGATTGAATATTTCCATGTCTATGTGAGATATATCTGGGAGTTATAGAAAAGCTTTTCAGCAGTTTCCAGTTCTGGTAGGTTACATAGACACTGTTAGTAGTAAACTAAATCTTTGTACGTTTATATGAACTCCACGATATGAAACGTTAGAGATACTCCAAGCGTACGTCTTGGCTGCCTAAGGTAAGATCAGGAGCATAAGCAAAACCAGTGCCCGTGTGACGTTCCTGCTTAGGGGGTGCACGTGTGATGTTCCTGCTTAGGGGGTGCACGTGTGACGTTCCTGCTTAGGGGGTGCACGTGTGACGTTCCTGCTTAGGGGGTGCCCGTGTGACATTCCTGCTTAGGGGGGGATGCAGCTGGGCGTGCAATTGCAGGACTAATTGCGACACTTTAGAGGTGGAGGCAGGAAGACCAGAAGTTCAAGGTTACCCTCAGCCTCATAGTTAATTTAAAACTAACCTACACTACATGCGACCTTATCTAAAAATACAGAGAAATAAAATAGTGAAAATATCAGGTCTGGTCCTCGCTCAGGGGTAGAGTGGCTGTAGCCTGAGTAAGACCGTGGGGTTAATTCCCAGCAACATAGGACAAAAAAGGGAAAAGGCAACAAAAATCGTAGGCACATGAAATGGGTAAAGGATATCAATACGCATTTCCCCACAGCTAATAAAACCCTCTGCCCTGATCCCCTACTCCACCCTTGGTTCTATTTTAAGAGCACCCTGTTCCTTGCTTTCCCTCCTCCCTCTACGTCTAAGAATCTCTATACTCTGTAAAGTTAGTCTGGCTGCCTTTCTCCAAACCCGGTCTTCCCTGCGGAGGAGCTGGGTGATCTGGTCATTCCCTGGAGCTGTCAGTTTTCCCGTTTTTTCAATCTCTTGAAAAGTGAGAGTGGGTATAGTTGCCGTAGTTGGTTTGTCCATGACGTAGTTGCTTGACGCTTGCTGGGTGCTGTGAAGATGAGTGTCTGACATACCACACAGGCTGTAGGATGTTCTCATTGTTGTCAGCAGCAGCAGCGTTAGTCTCTGGCTCGGATTTCTCGTATTCGCTCTATGTGATCCCTTCTCCATCCTGTGACTGCTCATTCCTTCACCTTCTCTCCTAGAAGGGGAGTTTGGCGTTGGCCCTCCATCACAGGACGTTTCTGAGAAAGCTTCAGTTCAAAATGACATAGCAAATAGAATCACAGTAGGTGGCTCGTGGTGTTCTGTTTTACAAGAGCTGCAGCAGGGTGTTGATCCTGCAGAAAGATCAGCAAAATCAGATCCCACCTTTGAGATCTGATACCTTCCTCAATAATAAAATACTGAGCACAGCCTCTGTGAATGTAAAGACTCTGGGGAAACCATTGCTTTGGGGAACAGTGTGTTTCTACCCAAGAAGTACTTCCAAATGTTCATTTGCAAAAGGTTTTAATCCTAACCTGGAAGCAGATAGTCAGAATCAAAGCAGCATCGCCAAACCATCTGATGACACTGTTATATCATCTCCACTCTCACACAAGACTCAGGCAGTGCTAAATGTAAGGGTGCTCATAGGGAGAAAGTGTACAAAGGCAATCCATTTGGAAAAGCTAACCGTGAGCAACCACTCCACAACTTGGAAGTCAGTCTGCAGAGAAGCTGCTTGAGCATGCTCAGTGTGGCGAGGCCTTCGGGGGGCAGCTCGGCTTTTTGCCAACACCAGATAGCACGCACTAGCGAGAGATCTGTCCGTCACAGATGTGGGATAGCTCTCCTCGGGAAATCTGACTTGACATCCCATCCAGGAACTCACAAATGTCCTGGCTGTGGGAGATGTTTCGCTCGGGTGCCCACCAGCAGCTGCATAACCGAACTCACACTGGAAGAAGCCTCATGCATGGCCAGACCGTGGGAGATTATTCCGCCACAAATCCCACCTGCAGGTCCATCAAACTCACACTGGAGAGAAACCTTATGAACGTCATGACTGCGGGAACTCATTTGGCAATAGAATAGAACCCACTTGAAGATGCATAATCGAATTCACACTGGTGAGAGACCTTACGTGTGTTCTGGATGTGGAAAGGCCTTCAACCAGAAGTTGGTCCTCCGCACACACCAGAGAATTCACACAGGGCAGATGTGGTGACTGTGGGAAGCTTTCTCTGCTCAGGTCCAACTCCAGGTACATGAAAGAATTCCCACAAGAGAGAAACCCTGTGTGTGCCCAGAATGTGGAGGGCCTGTAGTGCCAGGTCAGGCTTCCATACACATAAGACGGCTCACACTGGGGATAGACCTTTGTATGTCAGAAGTGTGGGGAACCCTTTCTCCAGGGATCCGAGTTGACATCACATCATCAAACTCACACTGGGGAGAAGCCTTGTGTCTGCAGGAGTGTGAAAAGTGGTTTAGTAAAACATGCCACCTGAACACACATGGTCGCATTCACACGGGAGGGACCTCGCCCGTGTTCTGAATGTGGTAAGACCTTCTGCTGAAAATTATATCTCGGCCTACACCAGAAAACTCACACGGGAGAAAAACACCATGTATGCAGTGAGTGTGGGGAAGCCTTGTGTCAGAAGTCAGCACTCAGAATATATCCAAGAATTCACACTGGAGAGAAGCCCTACATATGCAGTGAGTGTGGGAAAGCCTTGGCTTCACCAGTGAGTTCACACTGTGAGAATCCATGTGTGTGTTCTGAACGTAGGAAGACTTTCAGTAGCAGGCTGTCTTTGCAGAGACATTACTTTACACTAGGGGGAGGCTGTTTGTCACAAATGAGGAAAGCCCTTCCTCTGGAAGTCAGCACTGTCAGCAGCAGCCGCCACACTGGAGCTGTGGGAATTGCCCCACAGTGCATAGCCAGTGTGAGGAGAATTGAACCCGTCACAGCAACCGTGGTTAGTTACTTAGCAATGCATCCCAATTAAGCACACATCACCAAATTTATTGCATGTAGATACAGCATTTTCAGTTTGGAGAGCTCTTCCTTCAGAGGTTTCATGCGGCAGAGAAGCCTCAAATACAGTGGCTGTAAAGGGTTCTTCACTTATGCACTGCTGAGTTCATATGTAAGAGAAACCCTTTGTGTGCACTGATGGTGGGAAGGCCTCCCGTCAGAAGGCAACACTTAGCATGCACCAGAGAATTTACAAAGAAGAGAAGCCTCTTCGTTGCCATGACTGGAAATTCTTTGATGATGCATCCTGACTGAGTGTGCATTTATGTCAGTCAGTACCTTATGAACTGAATGAGGTAAGACCTTCAACGCAGATCAAATTGCAATAGTCACCACACAGCTCATACCAGGGACAGTTCTTGGTGTAGTTCCCTGAACCCAGATGATTTTAGGTGTTGTAGTAGGCTCACCCTCAGAATCAGGACATTTGGACTGATCCTCTTCACCGAGATCCACGGAGTTGATCCCACTGAGCTCAGAGTAGATACCCTCATTTGGAATTCCTGAGCCAGAGACCTGGACCAACAAGGGCAGCTCTGCTCTCACCTTTGGTCTTTCTTGTGTTAAGAGGTGCAAAAAAATGAAGTCTGGATGGGTGATAGTTTTACTAAAGGAATGCCCCCTAACCTGACACTCCTATTCCCAGAAATGAGCCCAGGAGGCCTTGTGATGTTCTGTTCTTGGGACACCAGGTCATTCCCATTGCAACCCTCTCGTTCACGGGGCCCAGTCTAGTGCCTTGCGTGCAGCCTTTTTTGGTGCAGATGCCACAGCGGAGAGGCTGGTCCAAAGCTACCCGATGCCATGCTGCAGATGTCCAGCCACTTCTCTTCTAGCCTACCTGCCCCCCACAAGCTCATCAGTGATAACAGACGTGAGCTGTTGTGCTCCGGGGAACAGCTCGACATTTGTAGGCCTCTGCTGTGGTCTGGAGAGTGGGGCTTTTAGTCAGCTTTGACTTGTGCTAGGTCAGTGTGTCTAGACAGGGTGTGCCGAGCTCACACTTGGTGCTAAGACTAGAGCTTGTTCTCACAGCTCTAGGGTCCTTGGAGATCTCACAGCACGTGTGTGTGTTCTGCATGTTCTTCCCCACCACTGAGTGCTAGGAAACCTTAGTGGGGCCCGTGTTAGTGTTCTCCTCATAGCCTATCCTTGCTGCGCCTGTATGCACAACCTTCTAGCACAATAGTTTGATGAGAGCAGGGCATCCTCCACGTTCCAGTGACTATATGCTTACCTAAGGAAGCAGGACCTTAACATCTGCCCCCCCCCTTCCCTCTCCAAGGTTTCTGGGTTGTGGATGAGGGCTAGTGAGGGGGAGACATGCAGGATCAAGAATAGAACCAGGTGCAGTAAGCCCCTGCTGTTCTACTCTTGGAAGTCCCGGGGCAGCTCCCACACCAGCCTTATAGTGCAGATCCTGTGACCGCCCAGAGCCAGTGACTTACCTGCTGCAAGCACGGGATCTGCTATAGTACTTCTGTTAGAAGCTTCTTTTTCTCTGCCTGAAAGACCATTATCTCCTGTGAAACTCTGCTATCTATGGAGCAAAGGTGGAATTGTGGCCCTTGAAGTCGCGTAAGTTGCCAGACAGTTCAAAAGAGAGCATGGCATAGGATGATCAGAGGGGCTCAAGGCTACTGAGTGGTTGCTGGTTCTCATATATTGATGGGGAATCATAGTTTCCATGTCAGGAGCCACGTGGGCAGAGGAGGCTCAGCTTGAAGTCCACTCATCTGCCTGGAGCAGGCCCATCAGCATCATGGTGGGAGGTGTCGGGGTGCTGGCTCCTCGTGGGATCACTAAATGAAGGGCTCACTGTGGGGCTGGAGATGCTGCGAGAGAGTCAGAGCCCTTGTTCACAGAAGGCAAACCTCAGACCCACAGGTGGCAAAATCACGTGCAGAGAAGAGAAAGCTACCTCATAGCCAGAGGCCAGAGAGACATCCGGGGCTCTTGAGAAGGAGCAGGGAATATGCTGTGCTCCCACCCCACACTTCTCTGGAAAATGGCGTCTGAATCAGACTTTTTTCCTGATTCACTAACTATTGACTGTCCCGCGCTTATCTGCGAAACCCACTCTTCAATAGGGGTGCACGCTTCCCGAAGTCTGGATCAATATCCTAGGAGTTGAAAACAGACACACGACACACAGAGTGACCGGATCATTTGTCCAAAAGGTAAATGTCAGCTTTATTCAGCACACGTAGGCTTATATACTTGGAGGCAAGAGGATGAGAGCCCCCTCCCACCTGGGAGTGAGAAGAGGGGTGTTGGCCACATGGCGCCGGCCGGAGCCTCCATGTAGGGGGTATCGAGTTGGGAACCCTGACAGACAGATGGGAGGAGATTTAGGGCGCCTTTGAGGACCTTCCTTAGCAGGTGAAATTATCATAGCAATGACAGAAACAAGGCTTTGACCTAATTCCCTCCGGCTGGCAGAATGAGCAGGGGAAGCTAAGCTGGTTAGCGTAAACAATTCTTGCATCCTGTGCTTCGGCCTCGAGGAACAGGGAAGACAGGGCCCTACAATTGACAGTTTTAAAAAAATATTCAGACTTCTTTGAGAGTCCCTTCAGGAATCTCTTAGGTTTACCTAGGCTTGGGAGATAGGGCAATATATGGGAGCATTTTATTTCTTACACCTTGTGGAAAATGTAGTTGAGCTCTTTGCGTTTATTGATTGGGTAGAGCTCACACTGTACAATGTTCTACAACACACAGGGCCTCGTCAGTCAAGAGTCATCAGGCCTCAACTTGTATCAACAGTCAGAAGCCTGAGAGGTGCTGCAGCGGACCTAGAGGCCGTCAGATCTGCAAGGACGAGGGTTCAGTGTGGGCATTTAGGAGCATACAGGATGAGTAGTGCTCTTAGGTAAAATGTTGAAGGCAGGTGCTCACTAATCAGCACTTACTGTTAGTTGTGGCTGAAGACGAACAAAGCAAACTCTTCACATCCTCGAGCTTCTGTCCATGCTAGGAGAACCAGACAAATGCCAGAAAGGGACAGAGGGGCTGTGTTGTCTGGGATTTCTTCTGTATTAAAACATTCTATCTTGCAGCGAAGCTCTTTAACACTTAGGGAAATTTGAAGGGAGGCTCATCAAGACCTGGGAAGTAAGCACACGAGTCTCTGGAAGTACCTGAAACTGACCGGATCAGGAATGTGCCGACCTCCCTAAGAACTGCTGAGTAGAAGACCAGTCAAGCTGCTTGGAAGAGATGCCCTCCAACCTGTTGAGTTACCTGTGCAGTATACAGTAAGTGGCAGAGCTGCAGCTTCTGGGAACCAATGCCCTTGCTGGAGTGGGCTTTCAGGGATGTATTCACCTTTGAGGCATTGCTCCTGTAAGTAACCCCAATAAACTCGTTGGTTCACCATGTTGGACTGTGGTGTATGATTACTTTGACCTGCCACCAGTGCCCTATCAGAAATGGGCATTTGTTCACGCCCCAGGGAAACTGTCATACGTGTCCTGCCAGATTCCTTTGGGCACACCAAGCAGGCTATTCATGGTATCTCCTATCAAAAGACAGGGTGGAATGTTTCTGGGTGTGTGGCTCTGATATGGATATAGGTTCCCTTCCCTGAGGTTTGGGTCAATGAGGAGGCAAAGCAACTGTGTGTGAGGGGAAATAGGGAAGATACCTCCTCAGTCCTACTGCTTTATCCTATCTCCTGAACCATCCTTTCTCAGTGGAGAATGGCCTCAGTTGACCTAGAGGTCATCTTCTCTTTCCATCTCCTGCCTCTCACCTACTCTTGCTATGTATAAACTCCACCTCTGATGGAGGACATATCTGCACTCATCAATGGCTGCTATGATCTGAATTTTTATTTGTGTGTTTTTGTTTTTCAAGACAGTGTCTTCCTATGTATATCTGGCTGTCCTGGAACTCAGTATATAGATCAGGCTGGCCATAAACTCAGAGATCCACCTGCCTTTGCCTCCTGAGAACTGGGATTAAAGGCATGTGCCACTACATCCAACTATGATCTGACTATTTGAGTGTCCCAAAACATGTTGGATTCCTCTCCCATGTCGGTGGCACCAAGCAAAGAAAGCCTTGTGAGTTGGATTAGTGCTTATGAAAGATTCCACGGAGAAGGTGCCATCTATGAGCCAAGGAGAGGAACTTCACCAGAGTCTGATGGTGCATGGTCTGCACATCACAGGGGCAGTGTAGAAACTCTGTTTCATTCACCACAGTGTAAACATTAGCCCTTGGGTTTGGTGACGGTAGGCAAGAATGATTTGGCCCAGTCAATCTAGGCATCTGAGTGTAATGGTTATCTCTATATGCCTGCGTGACTTGGTTCAGATGCCCAAGTAGCTGATGAAACTGTCTGGGAATGATACTGAGAGTGTTTCCAGATGTCAGTGTTTGAATGGTAGGCCAAGTAAAGAAGATCACCCTTGTCAATATGGATGGACAGTTGAGACCCCAACTAGAACAAAATGATGGAGGACGAGCAAATTTGCCAGGCTGGGATCCACAGGACACAACTATGCAGGAGGGAAGTAGAGACCATGTTGTTGCCCTGGGACACCTCATTCCCAGCAAGCACTGAACATACAAACTCCCCCAGCATCTTTAGAGCCATTTATTTGTACAGGTGGTTTAAAGAGAATCACAAAAGAAAAGACATCTGTATTTTGAGAGCTAAAAACTAAAGCACAGAAGGATTGAAAACATCATTTTCAAAGAATAAGAATACACAGACTACTCCAGTCAGACTTCAGATAAGCTCTACACTTTCCCATCACACAGAGACTAAACAAAAAATAACACAGCTAATCACTTATTTCTATAGAAGTGAGGGTTGATGCTAGGGCTCTCTGTAGGTTAGACAAGCACTCCACTACACAGCCACACCTCCAGCCCCTCACTGAGGATTCTAGGCAGGAACTCTACCCCTGAGCCACACTCCAAATCCCTCATTGGGTATTTCTAGGAAGAGGCTCTACCACTGAGCCACATCCTGACCCCTCCTTGGGGAATTCTAGGCAGAGGCTGTACTACTGAGCTGTATTCCTAGTTAGGACTATGTTGCCCAAGTTAGCCTAGAACTTTCTGTAAGCCCCAGACTCTGGCCTCCATCTTTGGAGGCCCTGTCCCTGTGGCTGCCAAGTCTTGACCCCTCCCAGGAGGAGGGTCAAGACGAGCCCGCCAAAATCTTGACCTTACCCTCAGTCTATTTAAACCACTTCCCTGGAAAGTCTCCTCACAGTCTCTTCCCAACCCCCTTCCCCCCGGTGGTCATGTTAGTGGCCTCCTGGTTCTCCCTTGGGACCACCCGAGAGCACAGGAATCCCATTAAACCTGGATATTTTTAATTTGGCTTGTTGTGATTTGGCTCGATTGGGATTTTTTTGCGTCGGCAGAGAGCTCATGTTAGGAAAAATTCCTAACATCTTCAATTCTCCTGTCTCTGCCCCCTGAGTGCTAGGACCACAGCTGTGTGCTGCTACACCTCGTTTATTGTCACATGACTTCTGTGGGCCGGAAGTTCGGGCATTGACCTAGTTGAGTCCCTGCATCTCAAACGTGCTGGTAAAGTCTCACGTGGAGACTTCTCTAGGGAACAGTCTCCTCCTAGCCTCCTCCAGGCTGGAGGATGAGGTTATTTCTTGGTGTCTATATGATCATACATCTAGCTATCACTGTATTGTTTTATTTTTTGTCATTGTTGCCGTGACTATAGGGCCAAGTACTTGTAGCTCACTGCAGCAATCTCTTCCGTAGCGATGGCCATGCCAGGCTTGGAGAAAGTAGCATGGTTGCCTTCTGTCTGCAGCAGACAGCTCCCAATGGGTGCTAGGACCAAGGGGGAGGATGCAGCGTTCTGAGGACAGGAATCCCTCTGCTTGTTTCTGAGTCTCTATACCATGGCCCTGAGCCGTATCTTCCTCAATGAGGAACTGTGTCCCCAATTATTCCATCTGTAGAAAAGGGAATGCTGGTTTTCTGTGTTTGGAGAGAATTTGGTAAATCAAATGAAACTCAGACAGTGATCTAATTCTCATGACTAGTCCCAAAGCTGCTTCTCCCTCCGATGAGGGTTCTGGGCTTTACAAACAGCTCCTGGAGCGGGGTGTGGAGATGGCCCAGTGAGTAAAGCACTTGCTAAGAAGACTTGAAGATCAAAGTTGAGAGCTGGGAGTAGGTGGTGGACACCTGTAATCCCAGCACTCCTGCTGCGTCCACGGATCCATGGGCCAACTAACCTGGGGTGCAGAGGTGAACAAGGGGCCCTGCTTCAGACAAGGTGGAAGATGAGGGATGATACTCAAGGTTGTCCTTAGTCCTCCACACTTGCTCAGTGGCATGCATGTGTCGATACTCTCACCCATAAATACATGTCCTATGTACAACACACAGTCACCTACAGAGAAAAAAAAGGCAGCCATTAAACCACTTGTTCATGACCAAGAACTTTTTTTTGTGTGTACAGCCTATCGCCTACCCCTCCCTCCTCTGCCCCTGTCTGCTCTGGGACTTCTTTATTGCCTTCTTGTAGAACCCATGACATCTCTCCAACATGCCATATCTTCAACGTGCCCCAGAGCTTGAAAAGTTGGCTCTATGCCTTACCTGTTCCTTCTGCTTCTCCCAGAGTTGGAAAGCAATCCAGGCATCTCAGCCAATGCCTCAGCCAATGCCAGTGTCCCTGTGGAAGGCATGGACTCCATGGTTGCCAAATGTCTTACCAACTCCTCCAACACCAAGTGATATGTGAATTCTCCACCAACTTCAGGCAGTAACTGCATGAGGATTTCCCCAGATGGCAAGACTCTGGCCATCCACAGAGTCAGTCGCTATGACCACAATCTTCAGTGTGCCATAGAAGATTTCCAGGAAATACTTCAGAGAAGTGAGGTGATACCCCTAAGTGTGGCCTGTGAGTTAACAGGGGAGGGGAAGGGAAGCCAGGGGCAGACTGCAGTACATACTGATGAGAAAGTTTGAGTCAGCCTGCAGTCAGCGTGGTGTGGTTAAAATTCCAGCTCTGGCCGTTTAACTCTGAAGATTCACTACTAACCTTCCTGTGGGGTTTTGGACCTCAGGAGAGGGATGTAATCCCCATTCTGAAATTAGAAAGGGCCAGTGTGAGTTTATTGAGGCTTGTTGTTTGTTTGTTTGTTTGTTTGTTTTTAAGAGAGGCATGTGGGGCTGGGAAAAGTGCTCTGCTCCAACAAGCATGAGGACCTGGATTGGGATTGCTGACAGTTGCACAAATGCTGAGTGTGGTGGTGTGTGCCTATAATCCCAGGACTAGGGAGGTAGGGACAGATTGATAGGCAACTGGGGTTCACTGGCTAGCCACCCGACCGAACAGATGAACTCTAGGTCAGAAAGACACTTTGTCTCTTTCATTGCTGTGTTTCTTTATTTGCTTTTTAAAGAGAGAGAAAAAGAAAGGGCAAGGAGTTGGGTGTGTAAGATAGTGGGGAGAATCTGTGGAGGTGGAGACAATCATGATCAGAATTTATCGTATGAAAACAGTTTTTTAGTAAAAAAAATAAAGATGACTCAAAAGTGGTTGGGGAATGCATGTGATGTTGACCTCTGACCTGCACAGGGAAGTCATGCCTGTGTCCATACCTTCATGCACCTTTGTGTATAAATCCACCACACGTACCACACAATTCATAAACACACACAAAGAGGAGCAGATTACAATCAATCTTTTATTTTCAAATCACAATTTTGCCTTTTTATTTGCTTTTATTTATGTGTATATCTATGTGAGTATATATATATAATGTGTGTGTGTGTGCGCGCGCGCCAACAGAGGCCAAGAGGGTGTTAGCTCTCTTGGAGACAGAATTACAGTTACGAGCAGTTGTGAACTGTAATTCAAAACCAAACTCGGGTCCCGTCTGAGAACAGCAAGTGCTCTTAGCTGCTGACCCATCTCTTCATCCCCAATCATGTTTAGGTTAATATTTAGTAATTAACTTTCTAAAACCTTCATATCTGCTCAGTGACTTTGTTCTTTTCTTCTTAATTTAGGAATATTGCCTTCACTTTTTATTCTTGCTCCAGTTACACAGATTATACTCCCTTCACCAGCGAGTTGGATTTGAAATTTTAATCTTGGTGTGGAATACAGGTCAGTGACAGAGTCCCAGAATACCCAGAATACCCCAGTGAGGGGCTGGGGTATACTCGGTGGTAGAGTGCCTGCCTAGCATGCAAGAAGCCATGGATCCCAAACACAGCAGCAATGAAAATGAGGAACTCATCAACACTCATTCAGAATCTCTCAACACTCAGGGCTGTTTTACATTCATTTCAACTGAAAACCATAATCAGACATCTCAAATTATTTCTCATTTTAGTTAGGACCTGCTCAGTGGCCCTCCTGTTCCTAAGATGAAGGCTGTGGTACCATCTGCAGGAAACTCATTCGCAGGAGGACAGATAACCTCTGACCTCCATGCTGCCGCTCATGGGTTTCAGACTGAAACCAAGACTGTGCCCCATAGACTGTAGGGGCCGCCCTGGCTGCTGGCTACTGTTATGTGAACACAGAACTTGAACCCTCTTCCTCACCTCTGAGATTTGCATCTGTAAGAAGGATCATTTCTGGGACCAAATGGCGTGAGTTTTGTGAAATATGTTCAGAGCTTAGCTTGGTTCCTTTCACATAGTTCATGGGATGAGTTTCTCTGCTTTGCTGTAAGCCTTTGGCTGCGGTGTATAGGGTGGCCAAGGTTTACCCCACAGTCGGTACAAGTGCTCAGACTGGAAGCTCCCATTGGTGTGTTTCAGTTGTCACCTGGGGTGGGCTCATTGCCCGTAGTGGTACCTTGTGTCTGGAAGATGGGATGCCATCCCAGAGGGCTCAGAAGTATAACTGTGATCTCCTGCCCTGTCTCTACAGATGGCCCAGATTATGTGTCACTGCGGACTCAGCCTGGTGTCTTCGATGCTGTGCTGACTGCTGTCACTGGCGCCAGTGTGCAATCGGAATGTGCCTGTTTCTCCAGGCCAGAACCCAACCACGTACACTGGATCCATCATGGCTCCCTCCTAGTGTCTCAGAGGAGAGCATGAGCCTCCTCAGTCTGGCCTGGGAGCAAATGGGAAACTACGGTGTCTTGTGGAGGACCCGGAGACCCAGCTGGCCTTCTACAGGATGTCACCATCCAGCGGCCTCACGAGTGCAACCACCTTGCTCTCCAGACTTCCTAGGCGGTATCCATGTCAGGAGGCTCTGCCCACTCACAGCCTCTGGTGACCTGAAAGGACCAGTGTTAGCACAGGGCACCAAGGCCAAGTTCTCAACACAACGGAAATTTATTTGCCCCAAAGGGACAAAGGGCAGGGAATAAAAGACAAAGACAGGAGACAAAGGGTGAAGGAGAAAGGAAAGAAACAAGGGAGAGGGGGTTGGGTATCTATCTCTCGATAGAGAACAGACAGATGTGACCTCTGGGCAAATAGTAGTTTATAAAGGGAAAGGGGAAACCCCACGTGAGGATGAGGTATTTAATTTTGAGTGGGCTTGTTAATTATGGTGGCCAAAGAGGGCTTTTGGTTGCTGGACTTCAACACTCTGATAGCTGGACCTTGGTGGTCAGTCTTAGGAGGAGGAAGTGGCCACATAAGGGGATAGACCTTGGTGATAGCTTTAGGAATGCAACCTAACAGTTTAGCGAGGAGGAGAGAATGGGGAAGGGCAAGGCCGGAGCCATGTTTGCTATGCTTGAGCCCGTCAGTGACACCCTCCTCATCTTCTAAGGACCTGTCCAAATCTGTCCACTCTATTAATCATCCAGAGCCTCCGGTCCTGGCATTAGAGCAAATTCCACCAGAGACAAGATGGACCAGCATTTACTTTCTGTGTGCCAACTACTGTCCTGGTCTGTGTGACTGTCCTGCTTCCTGGCACACTGAGTGATTTACTACCTCCCTCTCACAAGTGAGGGAACCCAGCCCCAGGGAGTTGAGGACCTGACCTAAGGCTCCCTGCTGAAGGACATCCTGATATTACAGCCTTTGCCCTCCATGTGTTCCCATGGCGCCTCCCATAGTGAGGGGTAGGGGAGAGTCCAGACACTGCAGAAATAGATATATCTTGTGGTTTTAAAATCAGGAACTTGGGGCAACTTTGCAAGTGAGGAAAGTACCGCTTTTTCCCCATCAGGCACACAGCTCAGACACTTGCTGGAAGGAGAGCAATCAACCTAATTAGGGAGAGAGCCAAGGGAAGGGCAGTGGGGACTCAGTAAAGCCGGCTGTGCAAGCGAGAGGACCTGAGTTCAGGGTCCAGAGCCCGGGTGCAAAGGTCAGCTGCGGTGATCAGCTGCGGTGGTGAGCTGCGGTGGTCAGCTGCGGTGGTGAGCTGCGGTGGTGGTGGTCAGCTGCGGTGGTGAGCTGCGGTGGTGAGCTGCGGTGGTGAGCTGCGGTGGTCAGCTGCGGTGGTGTGCTGCGGTGGTCAGCTGCGGTGGTCAGCTGCGGTGGTCAGCTGCGGTGGTCAGCTGCGGTGGTCAGCTGCGGTGTTGTGCTTGTCATCCCAGCCCTGGAGCTCACAGATAATGTGACATTTGGGAGGCAGAGCAGGTGGATGTTGAGCGTATGGGAGGTAGAGGCAGGTTGGAGGCCAGCCTGGTCTACATAGAGAGTTCTAGGCTAGGCAGAGATAGACAGTGGGATCCTGTCTCAAAAAACAAACAAAAAACCCAACAAAACAAAACAACACACACACACACAACTAAAACGAAAACAAGTGAGCTAGTAAGATGGCTGAGCAGGTGGAAGTGTTTGCCTCCAAGCCTGACAGCCTGAGTTCAGTCTCAGAGACCTACAGTAGTTCAAGAAGAGGGACGGCTCTCTCAAGTGGTCCTCTGATCTCCACACACAAGCAGTAGCTAAATGTAAGCTTTTTAAAACCCACATTGGATAACACCCTAGGAATGAAATTTGAGGTTAACCTCTGACCTTCACATGCATGAACAAACACATGCACATGTACACATTACCTACACTCATGCACTTGCACACATGAGCACACACACACAATGTTCTAGAATCAAATGATTCAGATTCAAATTCTACCCCTGCTACTAATGCGAACCAGGAGCAAGAATTCCAAGGTGCAGTTTAAGGACAAGTCCATCTACAACAGAGTGCTGTGATAATCAAAACACTGTAGAAAACTACCCCAAAGGCGGCCAGCCTGCCTGCGCGGCCCAGAGAGAGCTGTGAGCTGATTTGGCATGGCATGCGTATGAGACTCCACAAGTCTCTCAGGTCTGGCATATGACCGGTGCTTTTTGATGCTCTTCAGTGAGTTAGCGACCCTGAGCCATCAGCACCTTCACCTTTTAGAACTCCTCATCCTCGGGAACTAGCGTGTCTGCCGGCCACCTCTGCCCATTGTCCATTGCCTGCATCTGGATTAGTTACTTCTCACAGCTATAACAGAATACACGCCACAGTCAGCATGATGGTGCATGGATCACCTTGGTACATGGGGCGAGGGAAATCCTGGTGTCACACTGCGCCTACAGTCAGGACGCAGAGAGGCTAATCTTGATGCTCGACTTACTTTTGATTCAGGCCAGGACCTCAGCCCCAGGATGTCTCCTCAGCCCCAGCATGCCTCCTCCTTCCGCAGCCACAACTCTCTGGAAATGCCCGCTCGGACAAGTCCACAGCTGTGTCTCATTGGTGGTGCCACGTCAGCCAAGTTGACAATATCAAGAATCATGCCCTCCCACCTGCATGTTCCGTTGTGTGTGTGCATGGCTGCCATTCGCTGCAGCGCGCCGGCAAGGCTGCAGACCAGCTCTGTCGTCTTCTCCTTCCTCCTCTACATGGGTTCTAGCATGGAGCTCAGGTCATCAGGCCTACTTAGCTTTACTCGCTGACCTGTCCTACCAGCCCCGAGGTTTTGATCATTGGTACCTGAATAGTGCTCTGTACATAGTGAATACTGGTGAGTCTTTGAGGAGGCCATATATAGCTGAGTGTGCTGTTGGTTTTTGTCAGCTTACACAAACCTAGACGTATTTAGGAAGAGGGCATCCTAACTGAGAACAATGCCTCCATAAGATTGGCCTATAGACAAACATGTGTGACATTTTCTTGATTAATTATTGGTATGAGAGGTCCCAGTCCACTGTGGGTGGTGCCACCCCTGGGCCACAGGTGGTCCTGGGTTATGTAGGAAATCGAGCTGAGTAAATGATGAAGAGCAGGGCAGCAAGCAGCGTCTCCATGGCCTGTGCGCGCAGTGAGCAGCGTCTCTGTGGCCTGTGCGCAGTTCCTGACTCCAGGTTCCTGCCTGACTTCCTGTCCTGACCTCCCTTCACGATAGACCCTCCCTTCTCCAAGTTGCTTCTTGTCATGGTTCTTTATCATAGCTAAAGAAACTCTGACTAAGACGGCGGGTGAGGGGTTGAGCTGGTTGGGTACAGTGTCCTCTCCATGCAGGGCCACGACCTGCTGCCCACAGAGTGCTCTAATCTCAGGATCCTTGGGAATATTTATCATCATATTGGTGTCCCTGGGCAGTCCTATGTCTGTGGAATCCTGGTCTACACCCTGATTATATTTTGTTCCACCAGGTGACCATTGTTCTACATCATGGGGTCAGGGCTGGGCCTCATGACTCAGGAGATACGGCCACATGGAGAAACAGGCCAGGAACTGGACACCAGGGTTCTTAGGAGGCAGATAAGTAGATTTTCTGTAGCAGTAGCTGGTGGGAGAGGAGCTCATGATGTGGGAACGAGAGACAGATGCTGGAGGATGAGAAGATCTACCATGCTTTCGGCAGAGTAGACCACGTCTCAACTTCACCGCTGTCTGTGATTATGGAGAGCTGGTTATTTGAGACACGGGGAGTCAGCCTTTCCTGTGCATGGCAGGGTGTCAAGCACTGGCTCTGGCGCCAGACCACTAGGTGCTATAGGAACACCCACCACCACTGTAGTTTAGATAGCTAAAACCATCTCCGGGCTACAAAGGTCAGGGTGGGGACACAAAACTGCCCTGGTATGAGATTCAGTATTAGTGATGGGGCTGGAGGGATGCCACAATGGTAAAATCTTGCCATGGAAGAATGAAGACTTAAATGCATATCCTACACCTGTGTGAAAACCATTCACGGCAGTGCGTGCCTGTAACATGCCTGTAATCCCACACACCAGAGTGTGGCAGGTGTGTTCCAGGGTCTTACTGGTCAACCATTAGTCTAATTGAAATGGTAAACTCTAGGGCCATGAGAGACTCCGAGAACATGAGGGTACGCTGGACGTGTTGACACACACCTTTTATCCCAGCACTGGGAGGTACCAGGCAGGTGGGTGCTAGGCCAGCCTGGTCTACACAGTGAGTCCTAGGAGAGCCAGGAGATACATGAGAGAATGTGTTACAGCGGCAGTGGACGTGGAGACGGAGATAGTGAAGGCAGAGGTGATGGTATCAGCCAGCCTTCTGTTCCTCTAACAAATACCTGACTCACAGTTTTAGAACTTTCTGTTCACGGTCAGTTGCCTCCATTGGTACTGGACCAGGGCCAAAGCAATGCATTCTGACTTCTGGACAGAGCGGAAAGCAGAGAGAGAGTAAGGAGCGAGGCTTCCAGTTCTCTCAGGGGTCTCCTCTCCAGTAACCTAGCTTACTCTCACTAGGCCCTTAAGGGTTTCACAACTCTCAGTACCTTAGGGACTAAACCTCTACCTTGTTCTCTATAGAGAACATTCTAGGACCAATACGTAGCAGAAATTATGGTGACACTGTTGGCACCACTGATGCTGATGCTGATGTTGGTGATGTGGGTATGGTGACAATATGTAAAAAAGCTGTGGGACCAGCAGGCCACATCCTCCATGGCTTCTGCTGTGCTTCCCTTGGTTGCGAGCGAGTTTCTCAGTTGGATGTCGTATTGTGTGGGGCAGCAAACAGACCTGCCTCCCTCCGTGGCCGACTGGGACCTGGGATTGTCAACTGAAACGAAGCCTTGTTTGGTCGGGTATTTTATCACAGCAATAGAAGTGAGACTAAAAAGGTGGGTTATGCTCATTGTTCCTCTGACATTAAAAGAAATTGAAAATAAAAACTGTAGGTGGAATGCTAGGGACTCTGGGCATGGAGGTTAAACCCCAGGGCCATCTCTTCCATGGAGGTTAAACTCAGAGTCACCTCTTCCATGGAGGTTAAACCCAGGACCATCTCTTCCATGGAGGTTAAGCCCAGGGTCATCTCTTTTACAGGCATGTGTGTGGGGAAGAGTCGGGTCCCTTTATCTCTTTCCCAGGACTTTAGGAACACAAGATATGACTTCTCCCCTCATTTCCTCCCTCAGGAGAAACCAGACATAAGAGTCCATGGCAGACCTAGAGGACACCCCAGCTGGGCAAGGAGGTAAAGGAGAGAAAGGGAGAGTAAGTCTCCCATGGGGACCGGCTGAACTGAACCAGTACAGGTCTGGGGAGGGAACCAGTCATTCTCAGTGAGAATAAGAAAACAAGGATTCCAGATGAATTGGAAGACCCCACAGGGGACCTAGACAAGGGGTGATATCATGGCAGCCTGGCCACTAGAAGCAGCACCTGCCAATCAGCCCTGGCCAAGCTGGGTCAGGGTTGTATGAGAGCTCCCGGCTCTGATCGCAGTTGTCTGTCTCAGTGAGTCAGTGCTCCATTGCTGTGAAGAGACACCATGGCCATGAGAACGCTTATAAAGGAAAACGTTTAATTGGGGCTGGCTACAGTTCAGAGGTTTAGTCCACTATCATCATGGCAGGAAGCATGGCGGCAAGTAGGCAGACATGGTGCCGGAGAAGGAGCTGCAAGTTCTACATCCAGATCAACAGGCAGCAGGAAGAGAGAGTGACACCGGGCCTGGCTTGATCTTCTGAAACCTCAGCCCCCACCCTCTGTGATGTACTTCCCCCAACAAGGCCACACCTCCGCTATAATACTCCCTATGAGTCTATAGGAGTCATTTTCATTCAAACAAAAGTATACATTAATAGCGGTGATAAGTATAATATGTACAGCACAAATACAGGTTTAGTCCAGTTGTATGCTCACATGAAAGTGAAAAAATTGCAAAGTATGTAAAGTATTACCAATTTTTCCTCTTATGTTAGTTTCCTTATGCCTTTTATTCTAAAGCGTTTTTCCTTCACAAAAGACATTCATTGTTTTTTTTAAAAAATAAAGTCTGGAAAAGGACACTTTGGGCAGCTCCTCAGCATCCACAGTGCTCTGTCTGCCACTTTCTCTGAGCTGTTTTCAACAATATATTCAAAATAGCAAAGCATTGAGCGGTGTCTCTGTCAGATTGTCAGTCTATAATCTATCTCTCATCTATCTATCTATCTCTCATCTATCTATCGATCATCTATCTATCTATCTGTCTATCTATCTATCTATCTATCGATCAATCGATCTATCTCTTATCTATCAATCATCTATCTATTTAACTTACATCTACCACTTATCTTTTATACCTATCTTCCATCTACCTTTCTATCATATTTATCATCTATTTATCTTATGTCTACCATTTATTTTTATATATTATCTATCTTCTATCATCTATTTACATCTACCTTTCTATCATCTATCATCTACTTTTCTATCTATCTATCTATCTATCTATCTATCTATCTATCTATCTATCTATCTCTGTCATCCACCCATCTATATCTAGTTTTGGTTTGAATGTACATGGTCCATACAGGCTTATATATTTGGATATTTGGTACCCAGCTGATGCCAATATTTTCTGAAGCCACAGAGCCTTTCAGACATGTGGGCCAATTTGTAGAAGTACGTATCTGGGGCTGGGCCTGGAAGATACCTACTTCTGGTTCTGGCCTGAACCCACTGTTTCCTGATCCACCAAGATGTGTGGAGTCTCCACCACATGTACCCACTGTCTTGAGCATCACATTGCCCTGCTCACCATGAAAGCCTGAAACCATGGGTCAGAATAAACCTCTCCACCCTTCATGTTTCTGTGTTTGTCAACAAGACAAGAGAAGTAACTAATACATACAACATGAAACTAGAAAGGGGACTGTTTGGGTAGAGAAAGGGGACTCATAACTAACAGAATACAGACAGAAGAGGGTATCAGGGATGAGTAAGGTCAAAGTCCATGATACACTTGGAAGAAAACATAACAACTTCTCATGGTGTAAATGATATGTGCTAATTTTTAAACAAAAATTAAATCTAAAAAACTAACCTAGGGACTGGAGAGATGGCTCGGTGGCTACTCTTGCAGAGGACTTGGGTTCAATCCCTAGCACCCCTGTGGCAGTTCACAACCTCTGTGACTCCCGTTCCAGGAGATCTGATGACCTCTGCAGGCACAAGGCATATAGGTGGTGCACAGACATACAAGCAGGCAAAACATCCACACACAAACAATCAAAATAAAGTCAAGCTTTGGTTTCCTGGGCACAACCGTGGTTGTCAGAGCCTGGGAGTCAGTGGACAAGGCGTGCAGGGCGTGAGCAGCAGCAGAACTTTGGTGTGATAGAGGAATGGCTCTGAAGTCCTGTGCACATCGATCTAGTGGACTCTATCCTTCTCCGGAGCCAGGCAGGATCCGGAGTCTCTTTCACCCTGTGGTAGCCATGCTCCTCCAGTCATGGCCACAGCCATGCAGGTCACTTGTGGAACTTTATCTCTGAGTACTCAGTGGCGGTGTCCTGCTGCCCCTGTGGACTCCTGGGCTTCATCTCATGAAAGCTGAGGGATGCATAATGTACCTCTTCCTCTGTGGCCGAGGATGGCGTCTCAGCTGCGGAAGGCAGGGGTTCAGAGCTGTTGTCTGCCTGGGGTTCGACCAGGGGACTCTGTAAAGAAAGGACAAGAGAGAGTCAGGGAAGGATGGCAGGGACCTTTGAGAGCCCTCATCCACTCACCTACATACATTTTAAATTTTAAATGACATGTATGTGTGTAGAGGTGTGTGTACATGTGGTGCAGTGCCTACAGAGTCCAGAAGAGGGCATCTGATTCCCTAGAGCTGGAGTTAAAGGAGGCTGTGAGCTGCCAATGTGGATGCTGGGAACTGAACTTGGGTCTGCTAGAGCAACACACTCTTCTGACTGCTGGGCCAGCTCTCTAGGCTCCCATGTGCATTTTTGTTGAAATCTTTCATTCCTGCTTTCTCCAAGCATTTAATACTTAATGAGCACCTGGTCTTCCTAGCTCCACCAGTAAGGTATTATTTTGTCTCTATTTTATATAACTGAAGATGAGACAGAAATAGACAAGCAACTCGTACAGACTCCCTGGCCAACTTGGTGCACAGCTGCCCTTCTAGACTCAGAAGACAGAGGCAGGAGACTCACTTCAAGGCCAACCTGAACTATCATAACAGACCATAAAGAGAAACCCAAACCCAAAATCTCAGTCAAAACCATAATCCAGTTTTTCTGACTCCAACACCTAGTATTGTGCTAGGAACACGTGTGTGAGATTCTTAGGTGGTGCTTGAATAATCCAAGGTGGAATGGCTGTGCTAGGCATAGGACCATGGCCTCTTTTATTTATTTACTGTTGGTTTTTTGAGACAGGGTTTCTCTGTAGCTTTGGAGCCTGTCCTGTACTCACTCTGTAGAGCAGACTGGCTTCAAACTCACAGAGATCCTCCTGTCTCTGCCTCCTGAGTACTGGGATTAAAGGCATGCACCACCACTGACCAGCAAGACAATGCTTTTAATTAATACATAAAACCCAAGGAGTGTCCAAGTTTAACCCTGCCTACATTTACTGTTTTAAAAGTAATTGTCTTTTATTTGTATGTGTGTGTGTGTGTGCGTGCGTGTTTGAGAGAAAGAGAGAGAGAGAGAGAGAGAGAGAGAGAGAGAGAGAGAGAGAGAGAAACAGGTAAGTGTAGTACCCAAGGATGTCAAAAGAGGGTGTTGGATCCCGTGGATCCAGAGTTACAGGCAGATGTGAGCTCCTAATGTGGGTGCTGAAATTGAACTTGGGTCTTCTGCAGGAGCAGAGAGCTCTTTTAAACTCCGAGCTATCTTGCCAGCTCTCTTGCCTACCTTTAAACGTACCCAGGACACTAACAGTTGTCAAGAGCAGGGCAAAATCCTTGGACACAAACTCTATTTATAATAAAGCGTGGTGGGTGATGTACTGAAGAGCCACATTTTCTTAAAGGTCAGGTGGTGGTGGCACATGCCTTTAACTACAGTACTTGGGAGGCAGAGGCATCTCTATGAGTTTGAAGCCAGCCTGGTCTAGAGAGAAAGTTACAGAACAGCCGGGGCTGTTGCACAGAGAAACCTTGTCTTGAAAAGAAAAAAAGGAAAAGGAAAACCATGGGCCACACCTCATGGTCTCGGGGCCATGGCTACTGCCCAGTCGCACAGGAGCGTGTTGTACCACATGCTGCAGGTAATCAAACGGTGCAGCGAATAACCAAAGCTCAGACTCAGAAGTATGGTGTCCACAGAATGGGTTTTGCTTTGATGTGATCTCAAAGTTAAAAACTTCTAAACTGGGCTGGCAAGATGGCTCAAGGGGTAAAGGTGATTGCTGTCAAGGCTGAGGACCTGAGTTCAATCCCTGGAACCCACAAAGTGGAAGGAGAGAACCAACTCCTGAAAGTTGTCCTCTGACCTCCACATTTACACCCTGGCTTGCGTATGCATGCACGCACGCACGCACACACATACACATGCATACATGCGCGCACACACACACAATAAATAATAAAATCTTGAAAACTCATAGATCTAAAAATTCATAACTGGAAACATTGTGAGCCTGAAACATTTGCACCTGGACACTCAATCCTTGTCAATCAGAAAATGGTACACAGAGTTGGAGAAATGGCTCCAAGGTTAGGAGAATACACTGCTCTGCCGGAGAGCCAGAGTTCAATTCCCAGCATCCACATCACCTGTAGCTCCAGCTCCTGGGGATCTGGCTCCCTCTTCTGTCCTCCATAGGTACTGCACTCAAGAGTGTGTATTCACACAAGTAATTAAACAATAATAGTAATATGGAAGGGAGGGAGGGAGGAGGAAGGAAGGAAGAAAAAGTGTTTGTCCTTTTGTAACTGCTTTGATTTTTGTCATTTTGCACTCCTTTTTTTTTTATTTGCCCCAGACTGTTTCCTCTCATCTCTTCACCCTCGGAGATGGGCACCTCTCTCCTGTTTGCTCAGGGCAAACATCTGAGTCAGCTTCCGACCTCTTTCACTCAGCATCCTCCACTCCTGCCCACACTCATTCCCTTCCTTTCGGCTCCATGAGCTGCCCACCCGCCTGTCCAGATTCCCTCCACATTCTCTCCAGTCTCCTTCCTAAGCCTCTGCCTTGTTCTTCCTTTGCGAAAGGTTTTCCTGCCTGTTGCATCCAGAGACATCTACAAAAATTAGAGTGTTCCTTCTCCGTGGAGGTTGCAGCTAGGTTGTTCCTTTTTGCTCTTAAAGTGGTTTGCTCAGACTTGATTTACACACTCAACTTCTCCAAACTCACTTCCTGTGGAGGAGGCCCATGCTTCCTTTGTCTCTTCACACAGCCCTGGGGGCCGCTTTCTCACTAGCTGGCTGCCTCCTGTTTCTGAGAATTGGTGCTTGCTCCTCCCTCTACCTGGAATAATCAAATGGCAGAATCCAGTCTCCCTCATCACTAACCAAAACCATGTCAACCTACAGAAAATGTTTAGAAGCCATGCATCAGGCAAGGGACTAAGAATCAGAGTTGATAAAGAATATCTCAACAACAAACAACCCCATCTGAAAATGGACAAAGACCTCGAATGGACTTTTCTCCAGAAAGATACACAGAAAAGAGATATTCACTACTACTACTACTACTATTTTTATTATTAGAAAATGTACAGTTAAACCAAAAAGAAATAACACCTCACATTCATTGGGATATCCACTATTAAAATAATACAAAAGAAACAGAAAATAGCCAGCGTTGATGGAGAAATGGGAACTTTGTGTACTTGAGATGAAATGTAAAATGGTTAAACCACCGTGGAAAACAGTATGACAAGTTCTCAAAAAATTAGAAGTGGAACTAATGACCCAACAACACAGGCATATAGCTAAAATAATTGAAGATGCAGTCTTGGTTTTTCACATTTATGAATGTGTGCAACACAACAGTGAACACACAGAAGAAACTCAGAAGTTGGCTAAAGAACATACACACAGTGGGATATTACCAACCCTCTAGAAAGGCAAGCAATCTTGTAGTATGCTGCCACATGACAGATCCCGAGCACATGTGTTCAGTAAGGAAAAACAGCCACTAAAGGACAAATACAGTGTGGTCCCATATAGCAGGTATCTGCAGGAGTCAAATTCACAGAGTGAGAGAGAGGAGTGGTGGGGGCCAGGGGCTTGGGAAGCGAAGGCTGGGGAAACAGTGGACGCTGTCACTCAGTGTGAACTTTTAGTTTTTCAGTATGAAAAATCCTAGGCACCTGTTGCTCAGCTGTATGTGCGAAAAGGACAGCAATGAGGAGCTTTATGTTACATGGGGTTACCAAAATCTAGCAGCGATGGCAGGGAGGGAGAGAAGGAGGGACGGAGGGAGGGAGGGAGGAAGGGAGGGAGGGAGGGAGGGAGGGAGAGAGGATAGATAGGAAACGAACTAGTCATACAGCCTATCTTCCCAGCAATAAACCTTTTACATCATATCCATACATTGGTTTTTGTTGTTTGAGTGGTTTGATATAACCACCTAACCACCCCTGGCTACAGTAAACACGACTGAGCTCAGGGTTCTTTAAGGATCTTCAAAGATGGGTCCCTGGCACCTGGTGTGCTGGCTCCTTTGCATGGACACAGTATTTCACAAATAGATAACATGATGGGACCTGGAGCAATGTCTCAGAGACAAAGTTCTTGCTGTGTAAACATGGAGGCCAGAGGCTGGACCCCTAGAAACGACATGAATGCCAAGTGGGTGTGGTGGCGCACCTGTGATTCCCACTTTAGGAAGCAGGGGTGGGGGCTCCCTACAGCAAGCTGTCTAGTAGACGAGCCATATCAGAGGTCTCTGGGGTTGACTGAGCGGCGTCGCCTCAGTGACAAGGTGGAAGAGCCAGTAAGGGTGATCCCTAAGATCGACCTCAAGTTTCCACTTGCATGAGTATCCACATGCATGCACACTGTCTCTCTCTCTCTCTCTCTCTCTCTCTCACACACACACACACACACACACACACTGTCTCAATAACTGATACTTCGTCACCATCTTAATTTGCATCTGAGGAAAGTTTCCCATGTCACCATGTGGGGTTGAGGAGTTTGGGTCTTTATGTTCTAAATCAGTCAATGAGTCAGTTCCAGCCCACTGTCCATTTTTGCAAATAAAGCTTTATTAGCACACAGCAGGCGTGAGCTACATATGGCCTATGGTGCTTTTCATGTTACAGCAGCAAAGCTGAGCAGCTGCAGCATCAGCCCACCCTCCCTGAGCACTTTTGGAGAAGATGCTGTATTCTGTGGGGTCCAGGAACAGTTATTCAAATGCAGAGGAAGTGGATAAAGCTAATAATGGTCATGGTAGCAGACAGAGGAGGCCAAGGGCTAGGGAAGGGGAAGGAGAAAGAGGAGGAGACACCTGAGAGACACAGAGAGACACTGATAGAGGGAGAGTTAGAAGATGAAAGAGAGGAATATAGAGAGAAGAAGAAAATGGGGGAAGAGGAGGAGAGAGACGGAGAGAGGAGATAGAGGAAGGGGGGAGGAAGGGAAGGAAGAAGAGGGACCCAGACACACACACACACACACACACACACAGAGAGAGAGACAGACAGACAGACAGACAGACATACAGACAGACACAGACAGACAGACAGATGGAAAAATAGAGAAAAAGCGGGAGAGACAAAAACAGAAAGAGAGGGGAAAGGAAAAGAAAGAGGGGAGAAGGAGGGAGAGACCCAGAGAAAGTCTAAGAGACAGAGGGAGATGGGAAAGGGAAGATGGAGAGAGGAAAGGGAAGATAGAGTTGAAGAGAGAAAAACTAAAAGAGAAAAAAGAGACAGAAAGATAGAAGGAGAGAAAGGGAGGAACAGAGACAAAGGAAGAGAAGAGGAAGAGAGAGGGAGAAAGAAAGAATGACAGAGAGCGAGGCAGACAGTCTCTCTCTCTCTCTCTCTCTCTCTCTCTCTCTCTCTCTCTGTCATGGCAGGAGCCAAAATGCAGAGAAGGCATTTTGAAAATGCAGAGAAGGTATCTTGATGAAGGAAACCAGATGAGAACCCATGAACTTGAGGTAGAACAGGAGAAAAGGAGAAAGATGGGCCGAGCTGTCCTGCCTTCCTGGTCAGAGAACAGGCAGTGAGGACGCATCTGCAATTATCAGACTGGGGATGGACTAGAGAGGTCTGCTTGCAGGACTCCCAACTTGGGCCACACTCAGTGGAACAATCTGGGATCCATCTCAGGGGTGGTATCCAGGCAAGAGGAAGCATGCTGGTCACTCACCTGAGAAATCGAGCCCTTGAGGGCATTTGGATCTGGAGGTTCTGCAGCTGATCTGGCTGGTCTCCTCCTACAGGATCTCACCCTGGGTGCAAGGACAGCAGGGAACCTCTCAGTGTGGGCAGGAGGAGCGCAGCTGGCATTCTCCCCCCACACACGACTTGCAATTAAGCCACCGGTCAAGGTGGCCAGTGGTCCTGTTACAGAGGTTCCAGTGCTGAAAGGTGGCTGCCACCATCTGGGACAGTGGGGCCTGAGGGTTGCAACACTCCAGACCCCCCCCACACACACAGAGACCACATGCCTAAACCATGCTCCCCCTGACCTCAGGCTTCCCACTATCCAGGGCTCCCTCTGGGCCTGGGCTCACGGTCATGTACCGGGTTTCCCCCTCGTCACCCCAGGTTCTCTGTCCCCACTGACACTGATACTCACGCCAGGAGGAGGACGCAGCAAAGCAGGCAGAGGAGGACTGTGGCGCCGGCACCCGCGAAGGCCCCCATCGTCGCTTCAGACAAAGTTGTACCGCCTGGAGATAGAAAACTCTAAGAGACCTCCCCTCTTCTCCTACCTCCCCTAGCCACTGCAGGAAGCCGGGCCTCCTGCTTTCCTCACCCCTAGTTCAGATACCAGAACCTGACTGGAAGGGACGGATGGAAGGGCCAGAGGTGGCAAGGGGGACATGAAAAGGCTAGGCAGCAGCTTGTCTTGATTTAGTTTGGTATCTTGTTCAGCATAGGATCATTTTGTATTTTTATTGGATCATTAAATGTCTCTCAGTATATGTTTGTACCTGGGTTTCAACCCGTTTCACAAACAGGCAAAGGAATATTCCATCACAGCCAGATGTGTGAAAAATGTCTGTCATTTCAGCTATCTCTGAGGCTAAGCCAGGAGGATCTCAAGTTCGAGGGTTTTTGGGTTAGAGACTGAGTTCAATGACTGCCTGGGCAACTTGGTGAAACCCTGTCTCCAAATAAAAATCAAAGAGGGCTGGAGATACAGGTCAGCTGTTGAATGCCTGCCTAGAATCCCCCAGTGAGGGGCTGAGGTGTGGCTCAGTGGTAGAGCTCTGCCTAGAATTCCCCCACTATTGAGGGGCTGGAATGTGGCTCAGTGGTAGAGCCCTGACTAGAATTCCCCCACTATTGAGGGGCTGGGATGTGACTCAGTGATA